CCAAGAGTGAGCAGCGCCGGAGATGCCCAACTCGGAGAGGGTGAGAAGAGGAGCTGATGGTTCACCGTATCAAAGGCAGCGGATACGTCTAGAAGGATAAGAGCAGAGGAGAGAGAGTTAGCTTTAGCAGTGCGGAGAGCCTCCGTGACACAGAGAAGAGCAGTCTCAGTTGAATGACCAGTCTTGAAACCTGACTGGTTTGGATCAAGGTCATTCTGAGAGAGATAGCAGGAGAGTTGGCTAGAGACGGCACGCTCAAGAGTTTTGGAGAGAAAAGAAAGAAGGGATACTGGTCTGTAGTTGTTGACATCGGAGGGATCGAGTGTAGGTTTTTTGAGGAGGGGTGCAACTCTCGCCCTCTTGAAGACGGAAGGGACATGGCCAGCGGTCAAGGATGAATTGATGAGCGAGGTGAGGTAAGGGAGAAGGTCTCCGGAAATGGTCTGGAGAAGAGAGGAGGGGATAGGGACAAGCGGGCAGGTTGTTGGGCGGCCGGCCGTCACAAGTCGCAAGATTTCATCTGGAGAGAGAGGGGAGAAAGAAGTCAAAGCATAGGGTAGGGCAGTGTGAGCAGGACCAGCGGTGTCATTTGACTTAATAAATGAGGATCGGATGTCATCAACCTTCTTTTCAAAATGGTTGACGAAGTCATCCACAGAGAGGGATGAGGGAGGGGGAGGAGGAGGGGGATTCAGCAGGGAGGAGAAGGTGGCAAAGAGCTTCCTAGGTTAGAGGCAGAGGCTTGAAATTTAGAGTGGTAGAAAGTGGCTTTAGCAGCGGACCGCAGGGAGTCTAGTTTTCCTCCATTTCCGCTCGGCTGCCCGGAGCCCTCTTCTGTGAGCTCGCAATGAGTCGTCAAGCCACGGAGCAGGAGGGGAGGACCGAGCTGGCCGGGAGGATAGGGGACATAGAGAGTCAAAAGATGCAGAAAGGGAGGAGAGGAGGGTTGAGGAGGCAGAATCAGGAGATCGGAGGGAGAAGGATTTAGCAGAGGGAAGAGATGATAGGATGGAAGAGGAGAGAGTAGCGGGAGAGAGAGAGCGAAGGTTGCGATGGCACTTTACCATCGGAGTAGGGGCAGAGTGAGTAGTGTTGGAGGAGAGCGAGAGAGAAAAGGACACAAAGTAGTGGTCGGAGACATCGAGGGGAGTTGCAGTGAGATTAGTAGAAGAACAGCATCTAGTAAAGATGAGGTCAAGCGTATTTCCTGCCTTGTGAGTAGGGGGGGACGGTGAGAGGGTGAGGTCAAAAGAGGAAAGGAGTGGAAAGAAGGAGGCAGAGAGAAATGAGTCAAAGGCAGACGTAGGGAGGTTAAAGTCACCCAGAACTGTGAGGGGTGAGCCATCCTCAGGAAAGGAACTTATCAAGGCGTCAAGCTCATTGATGAACTCTCCAAGGGAACCTGGAGGGCGATAAATGACAAGGATGTTAAGCTTGAATGGGCTAGTGACAGTGACAGCATGTAATTCAAATGAGGAGATAGACAGATGAGTCAGGGGAAGAAAATATAAGCCACTTATGATTCCCACACATGGCAGTGTCATTCTTTCTAGCAATCTGGCCATCCAGAATCACAACAGGCTGACTTATGCCCCATGGAAGAGCCCACATCGTTTTCGTGACATTGTCAGCCAACTCTTGCAAATACAACAACCGTCTTTGTGTTTGCTGAGCTGTATCTCCAATTCCGTATGTCCATCTTCTATAAATTGGAAAAAATGTTAACAGCTACTATCCAGCTTCGTTTTTTCAACAGATAACATAACGCGCTAACGTTAGCTAGCTAATTGAGCTGACGTTACCAAAAGTAGCTAGCTATCTTTATTAGTACTTTTTAAGCATATTTGGACAGTACTTGATTAGACAGTAATTGGTTAGTTAGTGATACTTTGTCGGATGGTGAACAGAGCTCCAGCAGTTGGATTCAGTGTCCAGATAGCTCATCAATAAATGTACTGTCAAAACCCTGCTCATAAAATGTGCCTGGTTGCTAATGAAGCAGCACTGCTAGCTAGACTGGGTAGTCACTCACGTTAGTTAGTTAGCTTAACGTTATCTGTCAGTGCAGCTTTTGAATCAACATGTTGAAATGTAAGTTACTAAAATCTGGCTTACTGTGAGGTCAATAACTCTGAATAACATCAACATGGGCTAACAAAATGTGTCATAGTAATAGCAATCGAACAGAGTTCACCTTCTCCTCTTTGCGCTCTCTCCCTCAGAAAATGAACAGCCGACCCAGTGTTGCCAAATCCTCAGTAAGGAAAGTAGCTATTGGCTGTCCTAAAAGTCGCTAAATGACGTCATCGCCTAATTTGCATAATTGGACATGTGCATGTAATGTGATGAACGCTGTAGGAGAGAGGAATAACGTTGTGGGAGAGACAAAAAGTGAGTAAAAAGATGCGCGAGGACTGGGCCGCCTGTGAGTGCTTTGGGACGGGGGTGGGGCCCCCACGTGAGTGCTTTGGGACGGGGGTGGGGCCCCCACCCCCACGGCAGCACCCGCTTCTCGTTGAGAAGAGTAAGATCGATACGTGCTTTCACGTCAGAGTCTCCAATAACACCAGAAAAAGTCGCTAGATTTGTCGCTAGTCGCTTTTTTGAAAATGTGTCGCTAGAGGGGTCTGAATACTCGCTAAATATAGCGACAAAGTCGCTAAGTTGGCAACACTGAGCCGACCGTGCGCCGTAATAATTTTTTGGGGGAACGAATAAAAAATGCCTTTGGAAAACCACTTTGACTCCGCCCCCTAAAGTGCCACCGTACACAGAAATGCTGGTTTTAGGTCAGCACTAAAAAGGCAGGGCAGGCCAGGGCTCATGTTTGGAGTATTCATTGCAGTGTGTAGCCTAGCTTGTTTTACACAATTCCAGCAGGGCAAAATACTCGTGGCTGAGACAAAATCATTCAGAAAGCCCGGATCTGGTGACGTCAATGTGACATCATTCAACAGACAGGTCAGGTGAAAAGTAATGTCTAACTTGTTCACCATAAATTATGTAATCACTGACACCTGGTGATGAATGGATGATCTGTTCTACTATGGCCATTAAAGGTGTTACACCTAGAATTTCTCCCCTATGTGGAAGCTAGGTGAATTGCAACAGCACTAGGCTGCATTCACAACAAATCTCCCCCACATCCCATAACATGGCAGAGACTCGCATTTGAGCCCTTTACTTTTGGTTTTGGTCTACCATCTTCAAACAGCTTTAAAAACTATACTTTTTGTTATTTAAAAAATATATTTCACAGCGATTTAGATGGTAGAATGATTCCATACACTATTCAGTGCTTGTTTTCTCACATAAACTGAAATTGAGCGAACAGTGTAGAATTTTAGCAACCAGGAAATTACAGAGCAATTTCTACATTGGCCACTTGCTCCGATTTCCACTAGATATCACAGCCACAAAGTCAAAACAGCATTCCCATTTTGACAGGAGATGCCGCTCCGGCGGGAGAAATCAATAGGCGAATATCACAGCCAATCACAACACTGGCGGGTAAATAATACTTTGAAACACTATCATTACACCACTGCAGATATACTGTATTATGGCAATTTTCAGAAATTACAATGCAAAAATTCACCCATCACATTTTATGCGGTAGTCTACAATTGGTGCAGAAGCCTCACGCCATATACCTCATTTTTAAATATCCTCCCACTTCTCTGAACAGCTCTTTTATGTCAAGATATACATCAAAGAAGTGGGCTGAGCCATCATTGTGGCACAGAGTAGGGAACCACTATGATCTGTGTGGTCCAGAGACTATAATGGCACCATCTTAACGCTGTGAACCAACCCCGCCCCTGCTGCTCCCAATTTTCTCAGTGCATTCCTGCACAGTTCAGGAGTCTGTACAAAAGAACATGTGGCATGGCATAAAAGTTACCTAAATCGACATGACATAGCACAAAACGTACCTAACAATGCACCAGGGCAATAAAACTGATTTTAAAAAAAGAAAAGAGAGATATGATATAGGCCTACAGTAGCAACCTATTTTGGGAAATTCTCACTTTTTAAAGAGTAGGCTACAATTATAGCCTACCACTGGTTTAGCCCAATCTTTCCAAGGGTTGGTACAAGCTATTTTTAGCATTTCACCTCAGTCAGAAGAATGCCAAGGCTAACCTAGTATTTAATGAACCTCGTGGCATGGAGTACCTCAAATTACCTTTGAATCATCATACTTTGAAAAAGCAAAAAGGGAATTCTAAGAAGAGAACACCCATTTATAATAGAGGTTCTCACACAAATTAAAGGACAGCCTTGCAAAAAATTTTGTCTGCTAAACAGGACCCTCATAGATGTTTCAGGTCATGAACATGAATCATAATTGTATATTTTGCATTCACACTTATTTTTCTCATGTGTATTCTGCAATTGGTACAGTATTTTACATTTTTACATTTTTTGTCATTTAGCAGACGGTCTTGTCCAGAGCGACTTACAGTTAGTGAGTGCGTACATTTTTCATACTGGCCCCCCGTGGGAATCGAACCCACAACCCTGGCGTTGCAAGCGCCATACTCTACCAATTGAGCTAAAGGAGGCCTATGAGGCCAGTATGTTGTCTGTTAGTGATTCACTACTCAAGCGAAAAAAATTGTCCCTATACAATGTCAATTACTGTACATACATTTGGGTATTGAATGTTCTAGGCAGTTTACCATGATTGAAATCAGTGGTTTGGAGTTTTGAAAAAGATGCCCTGTGTCTTAAAAGTCTTGTATCACATGTTTCTATTACTGTCAATCCTCATTTTGGAGTGGCTTTTGACATTGCTCATCGTAATGTTATTTAAAGAAATTACCCACTGGGCACACACAGGTTGAATCAAAGTTGTTTCCGTCATTTCAACGAAATTACATTGAACCAACGTGGAAAAGGCTACATGTTGAATTGATGTCAGTGTCCAGTGGGTACTGTCATCACAATAGCCACGAGTCATGTGACCTATGCAAAGAGAGCCACTCCCCTTTTTCCCCAACTTGCCTATATAGACAAAGGATGAAGAAAGATAGAGAGTTTGTGTGGATTAGAGAAAGAGAGTCACTTCATCCTCCCTCCAGTCACTGAAGCTGAACACAGGAACAACTATTTGAACCGGTGAAACCCTTGGGAGCCGAGTCAACTCATTTGCCACAGAGATATTGCCAATAACACACTGTAAGTATTGCAGTTTATTGTGTAAGCCCATTTGGGGGGAAAGGGGGGATGGGGGTATGAAAATAGATTTTAGATAATGAAAAGTCTGCACAAAGGTGGTAGACAGACCTAGCAGGCTCAGAATTCAATGTCCCCAGGATTTGATGATTTGAGTTGAGAGGACAAGGACTTTTCTTATTTCTTAGTATTGTTGCATTGTCGAGAAGGAACCTGCAAGTAAGCATTTCGTTGGAAGGTGTATCCTGTACATACGACTAATAAAACTTGAAATCTCTCTGTGTCAACTCCACAATGGCACAAGCAAAGGTGAGTGTGGGTTTGACTTTCAGGTACAGTCTACTAACAAAGACTTTAAAGAATTTAATCAAAGTTAGAAACGTATATCCTGCTGAGATTCATTTAGGTAATATGAGATGGAACAGAACACAATGCTGCACTTTTTCCAGACTAGTTTGGATTTGTGTTTTAGGATTTGGGATGACACAACAGAGCGAACTAGCAAGGCTTCACAAAAGTAAAGGGCTACAAACTGGTTGTTACCAGTCAATTCAAACAGTATTAAGTGGATGTTGAAAATACTGTTTATGTACACAGTGGTTAAGCAGTCTGTATTTAAATCCTATGGTTACTGTAATGATGTCTAAGTATGTCTTCTTGCATTGATTCCAACACTGAGATGACAGATGTTTGGTAAAATCTCAATACATTCTTCTGTGTTTCAATTTATTTTATGTGACTATGTAAGTTAAAGCTTAATTGATAAGGACCATTGATCACACCAGTGGAATTGAAGGTGCTGTGTTTGACTAATGATAAAATGCTAACTTTGAGATGGTCCATGGAAGATGTTGAAAGTAGACTGATCATTTGAAAAATAATTAAACGATACCCCGGCCCTAACCAAACACAGCAGTATTGCAGCTCATATTTGCTCAACAAAAGTAATAATTTGACCAGCAAATTACAAAGCATAAGCCATGAATAACTTTGAAATAGCTATAGGCCTATTTTCCACCAATAAATAATCAGATCTATGCAGAAACAGAGAGCTCCTTTTACATATTCTTTTGGGATAGTCACCTGTTGAAGTGTCCTGGGTGAAGGAATGTTTTTTGAATTTTCAAGTCTCTCAGTCCAGCACCTGATTCCCTTTTTGTTCAAGCTGGGCTGAAGTGCATTTGGGTACACTTTTCCCCCATTGAAATAGGAGCTGGGGCTATGAGTCCTTACAGGGCCGGACCTAGCCTTTTGGGGTCCCTAAGCGAGATTTGGTTGGGCCCCCCCCCCCCCCCCCCCCCCCCCCCCACCTCACTGGCAAAACATTTTAGTGGCCTCTCTTGACAACGGAGATAATTTTAGTTTAAACATTTCCTGCAATTCTTGACATTTTGCCATGGGGAGTAGAGAAGTTTAGTAATTTGATAACATATTCCAGGCAATTCTACTCATTTAGCCATGGGGTGGAGAGAGAAATGTTTGCCGTTTTAAAGCTAATTTCCTGCAATGCTACACATTTTGCCAATACTTATGCTATGTTAATGATATCTGAATGAGAGTGACTAACAAAATCAAAGGGGGGCCCCTAGAGATCAGTGTTCCCGATCGGTGAGCCCGATCGGTGTTCGGCCATGATTACTACAAAGTTTAGATAGCTGGCTAGACTAACTTACCAATCTAAAAATTGTTAACTGATTGAGTGACTGTCAGTGACTGACATAACAAGAGAAAAACTGCTGATGCACAACCAAATTTCGAAATTGCACCTTGTGTATTCTACTATTCTAACACTCAACAGTAAATTGAGAACCTGAATGAGTTCATTAAAATATGTTTTAATTTTTTTTTTGGGGGGGGGCCTAGCGGCCGGGGGCACTAAGCAACCGCTTATGTTGCCTATGCCTGGGGCCGGCCATGCATACACATCCTTATATAGTGGTGCAGCAGGTGCTGAATCAGTCAACTCTGACATGCTCTGCAGAATATCTTATTCAAGTGACGAAACTTGATGCAACACCTCAACACACTGTATAACATCACTAGTTTGCTTTGCTAGTTAGTTGACGGTATCTAGCAAGTTTGTTGTTTAGCTTCGTTTTTTGGGCTGCTCTTTCTTTGGGGGGCTGCTCTTTCTTGGGGGGCTGCTCTTTTTTTGGGGGGCTGCTCTTTTTTTGGGGGGCTGTTCTTTCTTTGGGGGGCTGCTCTTTCTTGGGGGGCTGCTCTTTCTTGGGGGGCTGCTCTTGCCTATGTGTGCTGATTACCTGTAACTACATGAGTATGGTTAACTTTAACTAAACACAAAAGGGCATGAATACAGAACCTCTCATGAAGCACGATGTGGGTTGTTGTTTGGGTTAGGGTCTGGCACACACACACACGCACACACACACACGTGCCCTATTCCCAGATCTCTTCACTCAGAGTTCTCTATTGGTCATTGGCCTGGATACGACCGTACACTTGTGTGTATGAACTGGAGTACCAGCACTCTCCTCCATTGCGAAACACTTGTTTCCTGTCAGCCAACATAGTTTATTGGAGGCAGATAACTGGGGGTGGGAGGAGGATATACAATAGATAACATGGTTTCAACACAATAACAGGAATCAGATGTTGGGAAAATAGCCTGTGTCAAACTGACTCTGGAACATGGACCATCTTGCCATCACCATTAATAATTCTCAAGCTTTGGCCACCAGCATTTAACCATTCATAAATGACTCAATGATTAATGCTTTTAAACACTTGGTGGTTTTATGATATGGGTGGTCACTGTTATTGTGAAGAAGACACTGTTTACGATCAGAATCACCTTTAATGCCAACTACATTTACACATACTTAGTGATATGATGCTGCTAGTGATATACAACATTTAGAGACAGAATACAGACAGGAGTTTACACATAGTTTCTCCCCCACACAAGCAACATTTCCTTCTGGGAACCCGCAATCTTTGACCCCTGTACAGATTCTGAGAAAGGGTGAGGAAATTGTAAATTGTCCTTTCAAGGGGAAAGGTCTTTAGGGAGATGAAGTGTTTGTTTAGTTTTTGTCCACTTCGATTGTTGAGAAACCGGTTCCAGCACTCCACACACATGCTGTTTTGAGCATTTGTATGAGGTTAGACTGTAGAGAGCTTAAATGAAATGGGGTTGGCAGCGGGGGTGGGTTGTCCAGCAGTCCCTCCTAAAATCTTATGGGTCAAGGAGCATCCTGCTCTCCTTCAAGCCTTTTAGTTCCTCACTGTGGGGGGTTAGTAGAACTCACCGCTGCCCCTGCGGTTTAACAGGACAAAGAGCTGTGCAGCTCCACACAAACACACACACACACACACACTCTCTTTCGCTCTTTCTGACTCACTTACTTAGCAACCATACATGCTACAGCAGGACAGGGAATCAGACTGCAGTATTTGACTTGCACACTGTGGAGATACCGTAAAGAAGACAAAACATTTAGGGGTTTTCTTTGTTTTTCTCTTTTACTTGGCTTCCACAGACCCTCAATTGTTGAGGTAAGAGATTTTGGTGCAGGATTTTGTCAGGGAGGAGAAACGCATCTTTGAATTCTTGCTTGTGATGGCGAGTAAGATGGCTAAGAGCATGAGTGACGTACAAGAAGGAATAACTACATTGACATCTGACTTACTATAAAACATCTGTTAGCAAGGTTGATGATATGAATGTACAGATTAGCTTAAAATAAGATCTGTTATTGTAAATACAAGGAACACAATGAGTGTTATTGTTTGAGAGGACTTTATCACGCAGAGCAGTTCGATAGTGTGTACATTGTCCTAGTACATCTTAACTGCCTATCTTTGTAGAATTTAAGGGGGGACAATGTACATGTTTGTAAGCGACTAATAATCATGTCTGTCCATTTTGTTTTGGATTCTGTGCATTTTCACTGTTGCAGGACAATGGTGAAAGACGAACACTGAGATAGGCAGTGCAAATAGTTTCTCTAAAAGGCATTCATTACCTTTGACTTTAATATGAAATGTTGTTTGAAATGAATACCCATTTATTAGATGATATATACGTTGATGACCTGGATGACTTCTGAGTAATATTGTGTAATTCAGTCTCATGGAATAAAGTGTCAATAAGGTTAATAGGAACTGAATGAATTATGTTATCTCCCTAGTTTCGAAGGAGATTGATGCGACCCTAGAAACCTAGTAACAAACAATAAATCGCTCCTTTTATGACCGAGAGTGACCTATGGGATGTCTAGTATTGAGTCGTTTTACAAGTAAGGAAATACATACTCTGTTTGGGCTCTTTAGGTCCGAGTCTTGAAAATCGTGACTCAAGTCAGACTTGAGTCTGAGTTCTGGACTTGAGTAGTACAGAACTGGCCTGGGTTTCCTAAAAGCATCTTAGCACTAAGATCATCTTAACCCTAGAGTCGATGTCCGCTCCCCCGCGGGAATCTAATTTGAATTTTAAAAAATCCTCATAAAAATCTGTCTGTTTAAGCTACAGATATTTGTTGCATGGGCTGCGTCTCAATCCACCGCATACGCCGATGTCGGCCATTCACATCTGTGGTAAAAGGTGGCAGAGCTACAGCGGTGTTTGTCAGATGATGAGACATCCCAAAAATCGGTCTTCTCACGAAAACGTCCCACAAGCGTCACAAGACTCGCCTGAAGTCGGTACCGCCGATCTGCCAACTTCTGTCTGTAGCATCCGTACAGTTTGGGCTTGGTTGTGTTGCTCTAGGACACCCACAAGCCTCACAGGACTCGTCTGAAGGCAGCCCGGTACCAGTTTAAAAAAGGAATGGAAGCATATAGATGTAGTTTAGTGGCAAAAAAAAAAAAAGTGAAATATGTGTAAAACATTTTTAAACATAATTTCCTGACCTTTCTTATGTCTCTCAGATATAGGACAGACACTTCGAAACAAACTCCCTTTTAGATTTTTGACTAACTGTTTTTCCATGTATGAATCTGTTATTCAGTGCGTTTCTATGGGCTAATAGCGCCAAGGCCAAATTCAATGTTCCATCACAGACAGTACCAGTCAAAAGGTTGGACACACCTACTCTTTCAAGGGCTTTTCTTTATTTTTACTATTTTCTACATTGTAGAATAATAGTGAAGACATCAAAACTACGAAATGACACATATGGAATCATGTAGTAAACAAAAAGGTGTTAAACAAATCAAAATATAAATTTATTTTATATTTGAGATTCTTCAAATAGCCACCCTTTGCCTTGATGACAGCTTTGCACACTCTTGGCATTCTCTCAACCAGCTTAACCTGGAATGCTTTTCCAACACATATGCTGAGCACTTGTTGACTGCTTTTCCTTCACTCTGCGATCCAACTCATCCCAAACCATCTCAACTGGGTTGAGGTCGGGTGATTGTGGAGGCCAGGTCATCTAATGCAGCACTCCATCACTCTCCTTCTTGGTCAAATAGCCCTTGCACAGCCTGGAGGTGTGTTTTGGGTCATTGTCCTGTTGAAAAACAAATGATAGTCCCACTAAGTGCAAACCAGATGGGATGGCGTATCGCTGCAGAATGCTGTGGTAGCCATGCTGGTTAAGTGTGCCTTGAATTCTAAATAAATCACAGACAGTGTCACCAGCAAAGCACCACCACACCATCACACCTCCTCCTCCATACTTCATGGTGGGAACCACACATGCGGAGATCATCCGTTCACCTACTCTGCATTTCACAAAGACACAGCGGTTGGAACCAAAAATCTCACATTTGGACTCATCAGACCAAAGGACAGATTTCCACTGGTCTAATGTCCATTGCTCATGTTTCTTGGCCCAAGCAAGTCTCTTCTTCTTATTGGTGTCCTTTAGTAGTGGTTTCTTTGCAGAAATTCGACCATGAACGCCTGATTCACGCAGTCTCCTCTGAACAGTTGATGTTGAGATGTGTCTGTTACTTGAACTCTGTGAAGCATTTTTATGGGCTGCAATTTCTGAGGCTGGTAATTCAAATGAACTTATCCTCTGCAGCAGAGTTAAATCTGGGTCTTCCTTTCCTGTGGCGGTCCTCATGAGAGCCAGTTTCATCATAGCGCTTGATGGTTTTTGCGACTGCACTTGAAGAAACTTTCAAAGTTCATGTCTTAAAGTAATAATGGACTGTCGTTTCTCTTTGCTTATTTGAGCTGTTCTTGCCATAATATGGACTTGGTCTTTTACCAAATAGGGCTATCTTCTGTATACCACCCCTACAGTGGCTTGCGAAAGTATTCACCCCCCTTGGTATTTTTCCAATTTTGTTGCCTTACAACCTGGAATTAAAATTGATTTTTGGGGGGTTTGTATCATTTGATTTACACAACATGCCTACCACTTTGCAGATGCAAAATATGTTTTATTGTGAAACAAACAAGAAATAAGACAAAAAAACGGAACTTGACCGTGCATAACTTTTCACCCCCCCCCCCCCTCTTTAAGTCATACCACAGATTCTCAATTTGATTGAGGTTTTGACTAGGCCATTCCAAGACATTTAAATGTTTTCCCTTAAACCACTCGAATTGTTGCTTTAGCAGTATGCTTAGGGTCATTGTCCTGCTGGAAGGTGAACCTACGTCCCAGTCTCAAATCTCTGGAAGACTGAAACAGGTTTCCCTCAAGAATTTCCCTGTATTTAGCGCCATCCATCATTCCTTCAATTCTGACCAGTTTCCCAGTCCCTGCCGATGAAAAACATCCCCACAGCATGATGCTGCCATCACCATGCTTCAGTGTGGGGATGGTGTTCTCGGGGTGTTGAGAGGTGTTGGGTTTGCGCCAGACATAGTGTTTTCCTTGATGGCCAAAAAGCTCAATTTTAGTCTCATCTGACCAGAGTACCTTCTTCCATATGTTTGGGGAGTCTCCCACATGCCTTATGGCGAACACCAAACATGTTTGCTTATTTTTTTCTTTAAGCAATGGCTTTTTTCTGGCCACTCTTCCATAAAGCGGGCTCCCGAGTAGCGCAGCGGTCTAAGGCACTGCATCGAAGTGCTTGAGGCGTTATTACAGACCCCCTGGTTCGATTCCAGGCTGTATCACAACCGGCCGTGATTGGGAGTCCCATAGGGCGGCGCACAATTGGCCCAGCGTCGTCCGGGTTTGGTCTTAACTGACTTGCCTAGTTAAATAAAGGTAAAAAAATAAATAAATGTTTTTATATAAATAAATAAAAAATAGCCCAGCTCTGTGGAGTGTACGGCTTAAAGTGGTCCTATGAACAGATACTCCAATCTCCGCTGTGGAGCTTTACAGCTCCTTCAGGGTTATCTTTGGTCTCTTTGTTGCCTCTCTGATGAATTCCCTCCTTGCCTGGTCCGTGAGTTTTGGTGGGCGGCCCTCTCTTGGCAGGTTTGTTGTGGTGCCATATTCTTTCCATTTATTAATAATGGATTTAATGGTGCTCCGTGGGATGTTCAAAGTTTCTGATATTTTTTTATAACCCAACCCTGATCTGTACTTCTCCACAACCTTGTCCCTGACCTGTTTGGAGAGCTCCTTGGTCTTCATGGTGTTGCTTGCTTGGTGGTGCCCCTTACTTAGTGGTGTTGCAGACTCTGGGGCCTTTCAAAACAGGTGTATATATACTGAGATCATGTGACAGATCATGTGACACTTAGATTGCACACATGTGGACTTTATTTAACAAATTATGTGACTTCTGAAGGTAATTGGTTGCACCAGATCTTATTTAGGGGCTTCATAGCAAAGGGAGTGAATACATATGCACACACCACTTTTCCGTTATTAATTTTTTAGATTTTTTTTCATTTCACTTCACCAATTTTGACTATTTTGTGTATGTCCATTACATGAAATCCAAATAAAAATCCATTTAAATTACAGGTTGTAATGCAACAAAATAGGAAAAACTTTTGCAAGGCACTGTACCTCGTCACAACACAACTGATTGGCTCAAATGCATTAAGAAGGAAATAAATTACACAAATTAACTTTTAACAAGGCACACCTGTTAATTGAAATATATTCCAGGTGATTACCTCATTAAGCTGGTTGAGAGAATGCCAAGAGTGTGCAAAGCTGTCATCAAGGCAAAGGGTGGCTATTTGAAGAATCTCAAATATAAAATATATTTTGATTTGTTTAACACTTTTTTGGTTACTACATGATTCCATATGTGTTATTTCATAGTTGTGATGTCTTCACTATTACTCTACAATGCGGAAAATAGTCAAAATAAAGAAAAACCATGGAATGAGTAGGTCTCCAAACTTTTGACTGGTACTGTACCTAAAGGGGTCCTAAAATTCTAAACCAAATAGCTAAATGATCCATGGTATGACCATCTTAAAACAATTCCATATGTTAGCTTAGTAGAACCCCACCCCACCCCCGGCTTAGACGCTACGGTGTTAATTTTTAATCCATTTGATTTCAATTTAATTATCTTAGTGCTACGATGCTTTTGGGAAACCCAGCAATAGTATTTAGTGTTTGAGCTTTGAGGTGGCTGGATCCTTTCCCACTCTCTCTTTGTCTGTCTGTTTTGACCCCCTGCAGGTTGAGTGAGTCGTGATGGCTTCCTGCAGTGTGTCTATCTACTTCCTATTACCACTCATCGCTGCCATGTCAGCAGCAGAGCCGCCAGGCTGCAGGATCCGGATCACCAACAGAGGCCTCGAAATGTGTAAGGAATTCACAACAAAAACACTCAGTGCCATCAGAAAGTATTCATGCCCCTTGACTTATTCCACATTTTGTTGTGTTACAGCCTGAATTCAAAATTGATTGAATTAATTGTTCGCAAATGTATTGAAAATGAAATACAGAAATATTTCATTTACATAAGTATTCACACCCCTGAGTCAATACATGTTAGAATGATCTTTGGCAGCGATTACAGCTGTGAGTCTTTCTGGGTAAGAGCTTTGCACACCTGGATTGTGCAACATTTGCGCATTATTCTTTTGATTCAAGTTGGTTGATGATCATTGCTAGACAGCCATTTTCAAGTCTTGCCATAGATTTTCAAGCCGATTTAAGTCAAAACCGTAACTCGGCCACTCAGGAACATTCACTGTCTTCTTGGTAAGCAACTCCAGTGTAGATTTGGCCTTGTGTTTTAGGTTATTGTCCTGCTGAAAGGTGAATTTGTCACCCAGTGTCTATTGGAAAGCAGACTGAACCAGGTTTTCCTCTAGGATTTTGCCTGTGCTTAGCTCTATTCTGTTTCTTTTTATCCTAAAAAACTCCCTAGTCCTTGCCTAAGACAAGCATACCCATAACATGATGTAGCCACCCACATGCTTGAAAATATGAAGCGTAGGACCGGATCACCGAGGTGGGACCCGGACCCTTCATTGATAAGTCTGGGAAGAGAGGCAAGCGGTGTTTAACCAAGGCAGACACAGGCGGCGGGGGGATACCCAAAGAACCTGGTCGCCCTCTCTCTTACTGCCTAAACCGAGTGAGGTTTGTTGTGACAGAAGTACCTCCAAGTGGGACTTCCAATCGGGGTACGTCACTGATTGCCGGAGCCCCCGAACCCAGAGTAGACGGGGCTTCAGGCAAACCTTGGCTCATAAACACAGTTGTGTCAACCCAAAGTTCCATAGTGTGCACGAGTGTCCAAAGTGTTGCGTCTCCCACATGTGGCTTCAATGAAAAGTGTCCCTTCTCCACATTCAGACACATGGTGGTCGTGAGTGGTGGAAAGGGAAAAATAACCAATCTCTCCCTTCCACAAGGTGGCGTCCCATCCCATCAGATGGAACTTGACGGGAGGTTCGCTGTCTGCTCCAACCAATGGTGCGCATGCGCAGTATTGCTCTGGATCAAGCAAACATTATTTTCCAGCGCTGAGTGCTAGTCGCTCACCTCTCTCACAGCCTAAACCGTTGGCTCCGGGTGTCCTCGTCAGGCCTACGGGCCCTGGCCCAGGGGTGAGATCCTCTGTTATTGTCAGGGGGCTCCCATGGTTTCAGTAGTACCCCACAGGGAGGTCACGACAGACGCATTCGCCCCGAGGGTGCGGTGCACTGTAAGATGGCAGAGCACACTGCATATCAATTACCTGGAGCTCCTAACGGTGTATCTGGTGCTCAGGCACTTCCTCCCGCCTTTGTCGGGCCGGCTTGTGCTGGTCAGAACCGGCAATATTTATGGTGGTGGTGCCATACATCAACAGACGGTGAGGGACTCAGTCTCTCTCCCTCCTAACCTTGGTTCTCCCCATTGCTGTGGAGCAGCGCTCACATGTTCTCGCTTCCTGCGACGCATGTCCCTGGTTGCCTCAACTCGGGCGCAGATCTTCTGGCCAGGTGGGCCCCTCTCTCTTAGGAGTGGTGGGTACACCCCTGGGTGGTCTCCCAGATATATGAAATGTTCGGCAGGGCCGACGTAGATCTTTGCTCATCGCAAGGAAGCACTCTTTGTTGAATGTTTCTCTCGATGAGGGACCCAAACACTTCATTGGGAACTGACGCACTGGAGCACCATTGGTCTCGGACCCTCCTTTACGCATTTCCCCCCATTGTCCACATCGACGGGGCTGTAGTGGAGCAGGTCGAGAGCTTTAAGTTCCTCGGTGTCCACCTCACTAAGGACATATCATGGTCATAACACAGCCACCCACTCAGGAGGCTGAAAAGATTTGGCATGGGACCTCAGATCCTCAAAAAAGTTATACAGCTGCAACACTAAGTACATCTTGACTGGCTGCACCACCTCTTGGTATGGCAACTGCTAGTCATCCGACCGCAAGGCGCTACAGAGGGTAGTGCGTACGGCCCAGTACATCACTGGGGCCGAGCTCCCTGCCATCCAGAACTTCTATACAAGGCGGTGTCAGAGGAAGCACCTCAAAATTGTCAAAGACTCCAGCCACCCAAGTCATAGACTGTTCTCTCTGCTACCGCATGGCAAGCGGTACCGGAACGCCCAGTCTGGGACCAAAAGGCTCCTGAACAGCTTCTACTCCCAAGCCATAAGATTTGTTAAATAGTTAACCAAATAGCTACCTGGACTATGTGCAATGACCCTTTTTACACTAACTTTTCTGACTCATCACATACGCTGCTGCTACTGTTTATTATCTGTCACTTTATTCCTAGTTATATATACATATCTACCTCAACTACTGCACATCGACTCGGTACTGGTACCCCGTGTATATAGGCAAGTTATCGTTAATCATTGTGTATTTATTATTACTTTTATCATTATGTGTTTTACTTTTCTATTATTTCTCTATTTTCTTTTTTGGTTCACGGAGATAATTTGCCTTTTAGGCGGTGACCTGTGACAACTCCCGTTGTGCAGGGACCTGTTGTCCCAGGCGCACGGGCAGGTTTGGAACGCAAAGCCGGAGATTTAGTTTCTATTGGCCTGGCCCCTAAGAGGGCCAATCTGACGGCTAGAGCTAGAGGGTTACCTCCGAACGTTATTGCTACTATTCAGTCTGCAAGGGCTCCCTCCACGGGGGGCTGTATGCGTATTTAGTGGCAGGGGTTGGAGCTCTGGTGCCAAGATAAAGGGCTGGTTCCTTTTCAGTGCTATGTGAGGGACATCCTTATGTTCCTGTAGGAGCTTTTCGAGCAAGGGCGGCCATTCTCCACACTAAAAGTGTACATGGCGGCTATTTCAGCATGTCATGTGGGAATTGATGGTGCCACTCCCCTGGCGGTGCGGTTCCTAAAAGGGTGTGCGCCGGCTCATACCGGTCTCTAAACCTATTGTGCCCACTTGGGATTTAGCTTTGGTTTTGGATGCTTTGTGAGGCCCCTTTTTGAACCACAGGAGGCTGTGGATCTGCGTATCCTCTCCTACAACACCTCCTTGCTCGTGCTTTTGGCTTTGGATATGCGTGTTGGGGACCTCCACGCATTATCTGTACACCCTTCCTGTACTCAGTTCACCCCGGGCAACTCTAAGGTGACATTGCATCCAAATGCGTCCTTCCTTTTTCTAGGGGTTGATAATTTTTATGTTGTGGCAAATAAAGTCTAACATTTTAAAGTGGAAATCACTAACTTTAGAAGCCTTTATAAACCTTAATACACTACAAGGTTACGTTTCCTGCTGTGCAGGAAAATCCTTAGCAACAAACAAATTAAGATCCTACATCTCTATACGCATGTACATTGAGGGACCCGGGATATCCAGTTATGTGACCTGATTTTTGTCTGTTTTGCTAATCCAGCTCAAGGCAGGGCAGCATCTCCCGCAGGATTGTAGACGCTATCTCCCTGTCGTATAGCAGCTAGCGGTGTATGCGCCGACTTCATTTGTGCTGCGTTGAGTTGGGCATCAACACACACTGTTGTGTGGTTTTATTGCTTGGATGTCACTGCTACCAGTGTAGCCCACAGTGTGCTTACAGCTGGGACAGAGGAAAATCACTAGGCAGCGCACCATGTGCAATACCCAGGTCAGGTCTGGGTGGTCTGCCATGGGGCGTTTTATTTAATATCCGTTGGGGTAGGCTTGGGTGGGATTCCATTTCCCCATAGTATGTTATACCGAAGTTGACTGACTGAAAGGGAACGTAACGTTATGACTATAACTACTGTTCTCTGGAGGAGGGAAACAAGGTACAGCTCCTGTTTGGCCCCACACAGCCCGTTCCTGGGCTCGGTGAAGTGCGGTATTCAATTGAAGGAATGAATCTGAGCCTCACTCTTATCACCTGTGGAAGACGGAGCTTCCAACGAGGCGCAGATTTCATTGGCTTTGTCAGGCGCGATTTTGGTTCCTTCAGCGAACAGTAGCTATAGTCATAACGTTACGTTTTCAACAGTCTCCAATGGTCTCCAACAGTACTCAATGTTCCTGGAAAGTCTTCAATGGTCAGTCTTGACCAAAGGAAGACATCACCTCCACTGCATTGCCACTATCAGGATTTTGCTCTACTTTAGCCTCTATTACCCAAACAATGCACCTTAATCCACTTAGATCCTCTTAGTTGTGTGGGCTGTCTTCGTAAGGCATTGGCTAGGTAGCTTTAGACTCTAAACTTAACTATTTCAAACCTGCCTTTCAGTGAAGTACGAGACCCAGAAGTTTGTGGTGGAGGAACTGAGCAACATCACCATGCCAGAGATGAAGGGCAATGAGGGTCGCTTCCAGTACACCATCAATGAGTAAGCCCTGGGCTGGGATCCATCCACCTTATCGATCCAATGTTGCTGCCGCTATGTTCCAATGGTTCCAGATCCTTTGATATCTGTGCCTATCAATGAACTGTGGGTAGTGTCTGTCTGGATAGATTTTCCAAGAACCTGGATTTCTAGAAGATGACCTATAAAGCTCAGCAACTGAATACTCCCTTTCAAAAGATAAAGACCAGATGGCTTCACTCACCACATGAAGTGAAAAAGAAAGGTGTGCAAAGTGATCTGTCTGGTCTACGAGGCTAGAACTTCTTCATCTTCTGTAAGAGAAAGTCCAGTAGCCAAGCTGACTTTATGGGTCATCTTCTAGAAATCCGGGTTCTTGGAAAATCAACACCAGTAGACAGCATTGCTACCCACTCACTGTTTCTGCTTTGGCCAACTTCAACCAACTGGCAACCAGGCTACAAGATTGCGGCTACTAAAAGGGAACTTCTGGTGAATTTCATGTGAATTTCTAGTGACTTTCTAGTATCAGCCCAAGCACTGATCCAAGTGTCTTCCTTCCTGTGGTTCAGGGTGAAAATAACTGAGTTGAACCTGACCTACGCTGACCTGGCCTTCCAGCCTGGTCTGGGTCTGCTCTTCGAGGTGCAGAACTCCTCCATCGCCCTCAGTTTCCAGAGACGCGTCCTATACTGGTTCTTGTAAGTCTTTCTCTCTATCCTCTATGGTCTCTCTAGTGCATTTGACAAGAAAATAATGGGTTTGTATGCAAAATAATGCCTGTGGTGAAATACTCACAATAGTATATTGTATAGCCTTGAGGAGTTCAGTCATACAGAGGTAGGCTAGATTGATGACTCATCTCCTTTGAAGTCAAACTTCAGAGATAATCGATGTCCAAGAATAGTTTCTTGGAAGTGCTTACCTTTTGATGCTACTTAATGTGGTTGAGATGATGACGTTGATGAGGATGATGATGATCTGAGAAGGTTTCTTCTTCATGGTCTTGTAGCTATGACACCGGAGCCATCAACGCCTCTGCAGAAGGCGTGAACATCCACACTGTCCTGCACATGACCAAAGATGAGTTGGGCCGTCTCAAGATCTCCAACATCACCTGTGATGCCTCCATCGCCAAAATGAAAATGAAGTTCACTGGCACCTTGGGGTAAATCCTGTTGAGAGTTTTTTGTTGTATGCTTGAGCTGCTTTCTTGATCAGTGGCCATATGTATCAAGCATCTTAGAGTAGGAGTACTGATCTAGGATCAGGTTCTCCCTGTCTATAATAATTGTATTCATTATGATCTAAAAGGCAGAGAACCTAAACTTGCGTGCAATGTGGAGCTATTAGTCGGTCTTGAATCAAGAGAGACTAATTGCAGTGATGTAGGCTAGTAGCAGTATTTTTCAGCTAGTGATTTTTTTGACATGAGTGGGTGTAATCAGAGCCATGTATTTAGATATACGTCTCTGGGTGTAATTCAACTCTGCTTTACTCCTTTGCAGGAGGGTGTATGACTTCCTGGCGACGTTCTTGACCACAGGAATGCGCTTCCTTCTGAACCAACAGGTTCTGACAGATCAGTTGATTTCATTCTAGAATGCTGGTTTACGACGACATGTCAACACCTACGACTAAATCCTCATTGGTTGAGCTGGCAAATCAGCTGTTTACTGAGCATGAATATGTATGATGACTGTCACGCCCACACTGTTCTGTTCAGAGTGAATATGGCAAATAGGGGTAGACATAAAAGCTGAATTATTATTTTTGGAAGAAAATGTATTTACCTCATCTTGTAATGAATTATAGGTCATATTTAATTGAAATGTGGAGCACTGGACTGTTACTTTAACATGTCTGCTGTTTTCATAGATCTGCCCTGCCATGAACCATGCTGGTTTGGTTTTAATCAACTCATTGTTGGAGACAATTCCAGGTAAGATAGTACAGTGGTTCATTGGCAAATGCCTTGAGAGATTGGTTATAAACATAACTAACATTTTAAAAAAGAGTTTAAAATAACTTTTGCACGCAGAAAGAAAATGGTGTGCTTGTTTTGATTTCAACCCATCCAGTGCGAACTGAAGTGGACAAGTATGTGGGGATCGACTACTCTCTCCTAAGTGACCCAGTGGTGACTTCAAGGAGTCTTGACATGGATTTCAGGGTGAGTGAGATAGTCGATCGATAGCTAGCTATGCATTAGTTTCATGCATCATGGCCATATCATGTGTATATTATGTAGGTATGTTTTGGGTATTAAACCCTTTATTGGAGGGGTACCCAAGGACTTCATAACACACTCAAAACCACACATTATGCATTCATAAGCAGTACATATGACCGTGAGTTGATATTTTCGTTATGTCACAGTAATGTCACTGATACTGCAACAATTATCAACATGTGGTTGTTGACATAATTGAACTGCTTATGAATGTGTTATGAAGCCCTTATGTAGGTACCCCTCAAATAAAATGTAATCTATTTTTGCATCTCTCTCTCCCTCTCTCTCACCCCCCCCCCCCCCCCCCCCCCCCACAGGGCATGTTCTTTGAGCTCGGGAACGAGAGCAACACCTTGGTCAACTATGCCGTCAACCCAATCGTGAGAGAGTACGACCGCATGGTGTACCTGGGTCTGTCCGAGTACTTCTTTGACAGCGGGTTGTACTCCTATTATAAAGCCGGCATATTCCAAATGAATATCGCCAACGAGCGCGTAAGTATGAGACCAGAGTCCCCCGTTATGTCTTGCAACCCTATTCCCTCCCCTGCATTTTAGCCTACACATTACTTAAGTTATTCTTAGCTCCAAGGTGTAAATTATTCCATATTGGCATATTGGCCTAAGAACTGGTGTCTGCTTCAGAGGTCGTGCCAGACATGTTGACACAGATTTTAATACGCAGTTGAGTCATCATTGGTACAGCACCTCTTTACATAATAAGGTGATCTGCCGCAAACCCAATCATTAAGCAAAAAAAAATACAACATCTGTATAGAAAAAAGGGAGTCTGCATAGATGGAATTTCTGAGTGTTTCTTTTTTTTTTTTTTACAGCATACCAGTATTGTTCTGGTAGTAATATGACATGAATATAGTAATTTCAAATACATCCAATTGAATGCCTGTTGAATACTATGTTCTCAGATGCCAAAGGATCTGGAGCTGCTCCTCAGGACGACCTATTTTGGCACCCTTATGATGATGGTGAGGATATACACTACCAGTCAGAAGTTTGGACATACCTACTCATTCAAGGGTTTTTCTTTATTTTTACATTGTAGAATAATAGTGAAGACATCAAAACTATGAAATAACACATATCATGATGTAACCAAAAAAGTCTTAAACAAATCAAAATATATTTTATATTTGAGGTCTGAGCAAGGCCCCCCCCCCCCCCAACTGCCCCCCAAATAATAATAATTAAAACAATTATTATTATTTTTAGTGGGGAAACAGCTAACTTCCTACAATTCTACTCATTTTGCCATGGGGCAAAGAGAAACATTTGCAGTTTTATAGCTGATCTCATGCTATTCTACACATTTTGCCATGATGCTAAGGGGAAAATGCAGCTGTTTTAAAGCTAGTTTCCTGCAATTCTACACACATTATAATGCCATGGGGCAGAGGGAACAATTCACAGTTTTATAGCTAATCTCATGCTATTCTACACATTATGTTACACACGCGTGCACGTTTGTGTCTGCGTGCATGTGTGTGTATCTCAGAACCCAGCCCTGGTGGAGTACCCTATCTCCCTGCAACTGGAGTTGAACTCAGCCCCCAAGACTACCATCAAGACCTCCGGGGCCACTGTGGCCGTCACCGCCATCGTCACAGTGATGGTGCTACCGCCCGGCACGGCGCCTGTTCAGCTCAGCAGCATGACCATGGTGAGGTTTTGTCTTCTCATGTTGTTCATTTGTCAGTTACTGATATTTCTCAAAAAATAAGAAAGGAAAAAACTCCATTAGAATGGTTGATAATTAGACTAAGGATTAGTTCTGTAGGAACGGAAGGATACATATTGTTTCAAATGCATCCTTCCTTCCTCCGTTCGTTGAGGTAATCACTGATATGTAAGTGAGTGGATAGACTCATTTCACCAGTCTTAGCCTGTCAGATTAGTGATTTCCTCAAGAAAAGCAGGGAGGAAGGAAGGGTGAAGACCAACGCACTGATAAAGCTTCTCTTTCTGTTCCTTGCAGGAGGCCAAATTCAATGCCAAGGTGTCCATGAAGGGCAAGAGACTGGCTGTCCATGCAGACTTGAGGAGGTAAGCATGCGTATTCACACGCACGCACGCCATATCTCTGTAGCATCACAGGCAAATTCAGAAAGTATTCTGTTTTTATCGACAGGTTTAAAATCTTCTCCAACCAGTCTGCTTTGGAATCACTGGCGGTAAGATTCTGTGCGCCTCTCTCTCTCTCTCTCTCTCTCTCTCTCTCTCTCTCTCTCTCTCTCTCTCTCTCTCTCTCTCTCTCTCTCTCATATATACTGTATAGTGCCTTCAGAAAGTATTCCACATTTTGTTGTGTTACAGCCTGAATTTAAAATAGATACAAATTTAGATTTTTTTTGTCACTGGCCTACACACAATACCCCTGGCGGGTAGGAGCGTTGGGCCAGTAACCGAAAGGTTGCTGGATCGTATCCCCGAGCTGACAAGGTAAAACTCTTGTCATTCTGCCCCTGAACAAGGCAGTTAATCCACTGTTCCCCGGGCACCGATGACGTGGATGTCGATTAAGGCAGCCCCCCAGCACCTCTCTGATTCAGAGGGATTGGGTTAAATGCAGAAGACACATTTCAGTTGAATGCATTCAGTTGTACAACTGACTAGGTATCCCCCTTTCCCCATAATGTAAAAGTGGAATTATGTTTTTTGCCATTTTTACAAATTTATTTTAAATGACAAGCTAAAATGTCTTCAGTCAATAAGTATTCAACCCCTTTGTTATGGCAAGCCTGAGAAAGTTCAGGAGTAAAATGTGCTTAACAAATCACTTAATAAGTTGCATGGACTCACTCTGTGCAATAATAGTGTTTACATGATTTTTGAATGACTACCTCATCTCTGTACCCCACACATACAATTATCTGTAAGGTCGAGCAGTGAATTTCAACCACATAGACCAGGGAGGTTTTCCAATGCCTCGCAAAGAAGGGCACCTATTGGTAGATTGGTAAAAATGTAAAAGCAGACATTGAATATCCCTTTGAGCATGGTGAAGTTATTAATAACACTTTGGATTGTGTATCAATACACCCAGTCACTACAAAGATACAGGCCTCCTCCCTAAATCAGTTGCCGGAGAGGAAGGAAACTGCTCAGGGATTTCACCATGAGGCCAATGGTGACTTTAAAACAGTTACAGAGTTTAATGGCTGTGATAGGAGAAAACAGAGGATGGATCAACAACATTGTAGTTACTCCACAATACTAACCTAATTGACAGAGTGAAAAGAAGGAAGCCTGTACAGAATACAAATATTCCAAAACATGCATCCTGTTTGCAACAAGGCACTAAAGTAATACTGCAAAAACTTTGGCAAAGCAATTAACTTTTTGTCCTGAATACAAAGTGTTATGTTTGGGGCAAATCCAATACATCACATTACTGAGTACCACTCTCACGCTCCATATTTTCAAGCATAGTGGTGGCTGCATCATGTTATGGGTATGCTTGTAATCGGTAACATTACATTTACGCCATTTAGTGGACGCTCTTATCCAGAGCGACATACAGGAGCAATTAGGGTTAAGTGCCTTGCTCAAGGGCACATCGGCAGACTGTTCACCCTGTCAGTGACTCGAACCAGCAACCTTTCAGTTACTGGCCCAATGCTCTTAACCAGTAGGCTACCTGCCATCTGGGAGATGAATTCACCTTTCAGCAGGACAATAACCTAAAACACAAGGCCAAATCTACACTGGAGTTGCTTATCAAGAAGACAGTGAATGTTCCTGAGTGGCCAAGTGACAGTTTTGATTTAAATCTACTTGAAGATCTATGGCAAGACCTGAAAATGGTTGTCTAGCAATGATCAACAACCAATTTTACAGAGCTTGAAGAATTTTGAAAATAATAATGCGCAAATGTTAAACAATCCAGATGTGGAAAGCTCTTAGAGACTTACCCAGAAAGCCTTACAGCTGTAATCACTGCCAAAGGTGCTTCTACAAAGTATTGACACAGGGGTGTGAATACTAATGTCAATGAGATATTTCTGTGTTTCATTTTCAATAAATGTGCTAAAATATCTAAAAACATGTTTTCACTTTGTCATTATGGGGTATTGTGTATAGATGGTTAAGATAAAAAATATATTTAATCCATTTTGAATTTAGGCTGTAACACAACAAAATGTGGAATAAGTCAAGGGGAGTTCACTACTGCTTTAACCAATAAAACAACACCTATTTCCACAGAGAAAAGTAAAGAAGCATAAAGGGATTTTTTAAGAAATTAATTCAGAGAACATGGCTTGATAATGCAATTTTATTTTGTTTCTGTCTAGAATCAAAATGTATATATTTTGACAGGCATTTCCATGTCGTTTGGATTTACTTGGGGATGCCTTTGAAGCTCTCCTATGGCAGGGGTGTCAAACTCATTTTTGCCCCAGGGGCCGCATTCGGTCTTCAGCGAGGTCCAGAGGGCCGCACTGGAAATTGGTTATATTTCCTCGACGTCAACATTTTCTAAAAATAGTCCTGTATCTATCGTTTTTGACATTTTCGATGCTGCTTGACTATCAAGCTTTCATTTAGGTGATTATTGGCGAGCTGGACACAGTCAAGAAACTGTATGGATGTAGGTCCGTTATAATTTCTACACAGTTTCGATTTGGTTTTACCCATTTTAAAGTATATTTAAAGTTAGGTTCCCCCTCCCCTAAAAAAGTATTGTTGCTCAAACCACCCGCGGCCCAGATTGGACCCCTCGTGGGCCGCATCTGGCCTGCAGAACGTATGTTTGACACCCCTGTTCTATGGCATATAGGCCTACCCTTAAGGTGGTTCTGAGGAAAGAACACATTTTCAGGGAACAATGAGGAATTAAACTCTTTGTAGGAATAATCCAACTCAGAAATCGCCCTTTGGACATCTGGGCAGCAGTCATAATCAGCTGAAAAAAGGCCTTCCGGCAAACCAAGGTCTGCTATCTCTTATCGTGACATGACTTACTTTAATGTATGATTGTTATTTATCGAATTACCTAACTATGTTTAATTGTCACTCGATTAAATTAATCATGTAACAATTAACTCATTAGGAATTTGGTGCACCACGGAAGAAGTTGTTTAACGAGTTACCATCTCCCGAATTAAACTCTTAGAAGATATATATGTTATATATCGATAACAGTCACTTATTAAATAATTACCTCTTATCAGTCCCATTCTGAACGTCATATAATCCTTGAACCTGCAAAAACCCTAACCTTATTGATGAATCAGCGATACACAAATTGGCTTAATTATTTATTTACTAACTAACTAAATAATAACACAATACAAACACACACACACACACACATAGGTTATTGATTACTAACTTAATACAATGAAAACAGGTCCCTAGTGGACTGGACTAACATTAGCATGAATGCTTGGGTAGAAGGAGGGTCAGAGTGGAAGGGAGAGACAGATTCAAACTATCGTGGTTACTTTGGAAACTATGCTCATTTGGATTAGAAATGCAACATGTATTTACGTGTAGCTGTCCTCGATAGTTAAGTTGATGATGTAGGACTCTGGTTTGCCCACCAGAGATCCCAATGTCCTTGGTAGAGTTTCAAGTCGTAGTGCTGGTTAGAATGAATACTTCAGATGTACCAGCGGTTGTCTGAGAGGGATTGTCCTTCCCACCTCGTGTCTTTAGTGAAAGTTCTCTAGACGACTATACATGCCAGCTGCAGACTGAAATGATAAGGTCTAGTGCATTGTCTTCTTCTTCACCTCATGTAGAGGTTGAGAGTTTCATAGTTTCTCCATTTCAAACGTGTGGACTAACGTCTCACGTTTTCTAGTCTTTCTGGTCTAACCATTTTGTAACGTGTAGCTTCAGCTTCACGCTTCTTGGGCTTATACCGTAGTATGCTTGGTCTTCCTTTTGTAACGTTTAGCTCACGCTTCACGTCTGCTGGTCTTGTAGAGTGTCAACCATTTTAAGCAGTGGGCTTCCTGGTCTGGTAGAAATTCAACCATTTGCAACGTTTAGCTCACGCTTCACGTCTGCCGGTCTGAGGTGAATTTCGGCTTTTTATGCACTCGGGGTAAAAGGGGCATTCCATCATATTTGTGGTCATCTGGGCGTGGCCACTGACTGAGAACAAATCAATATGGAAAACAATCATCTCATCTAGAATGCTAAAATCACATTGTTATCTTCACAAAAGTATTATTATACTTAATCATTCATTTTATACAACAATTAGATGCTCTGTCTCTTTAGCTTATTCCCCTACAAGGCCCCCTGAAGACTATGTTCTGTCTCTTTAGCTTATTCCCCTACAAGGCCCACTGAAGACCATGCTGCAGATCTCAGTAGTACCCATCATCAACAGTAAGTATCATTTTATAGCAGATCAGTTTAACCCCACAATACATCATCAATATACATAAATCATGTAATTCAGGTAACAAAACCATAACCCAGTGTAATTCGTTATAAGACTGTTGACTTTAAACATTACATCTTTAATCGTTCATCCGGTGATTCAATTTCAGACTGGACCAAGAGAGGTGTCTCGATCCCTCTTGCAGATGGTTTGGACTTCATAGAGGAAGTGGTGGAGTATCATAATGTAAGTCTCAAGGCTTCTGTTGCTTCTGTTATGCAAGAACACCACATTCAATATAGTTCTATCAAATTGTGGCTGGTTCAATATTATCTGAAAGTAGAAATTATCATGAATAATTTTTTACAATCGTAGCCACCTACATCATCAACTTGACACCTCGGCCAATCACCAGGGCACGACGTCGTGGAACGTTCAGTTAGAAATAGGATATATTGTCTAGAACAAACCTCTCTGACATGTAGAATAAAGAATCACGTTGGCTCTATTCATAACATTTCACATCTGGAATGTTCCACAATGTTTGGCTTCTGAATGTGGCCCTGTTGATGTACAGCAGCCAATCAGCTTCTCCACCCTTGACCTTTCACCCTTCAGGGTTACCTCATCATCGGGGCAAACCTACATTTCAGCAAGGGCCTGAGGGAGATGATCGAAAGGAAAATCCAGGCTGATGCCGAGAACACCATCTAAAGAGGATTCTCCACCTGCAATAGCCAAGGATATACATCTTAGATTACAGATAACACTCCATCCAATCCTGCGTTTCAATGTCACTTCCCTGTTGAACATGTAGTGGACTTTACTGTAAGGATTCCAAACCATGCAGATCCTAAATATTTTTACAGCTCCAAGATAATACACTAGGCTACCATGTGTCCAATTTCTGAGATACAAATTGGACAATTAAAATCATGCTTATGTATTACGATCGCCATAATAATACCGCAACTTAAGTATATTTTATCCAGTTGCCATTTTGAGAAGTGCTTTAAAATATACTTTTATACTGTTGCCTATTTTTGATAGTGTATAGAGAAATCAACAAGGTTGACTTATATCGATTCAAATTGAAATTCTTGCCTCAGAATGGCACATATGTGACTGCACTACTCAGAACAATACTTGACCTCTGTAATAATTGCCCATCGTCATGTCAATGCTCATTGTAATTTCATAGGAATTAATTGTGCAGCTCTGAACCATCCATTTAAAATGACGTTTAACTGTACAATATTCTCAACTTTAAAATAATTTCAAAATGTTTCTACAAACAAAACTACCTTCCTTTACCATTAGCCACAGAAGAGCTAGCTGGTAGGAAATACTGCATAAAAAATGTAATGTTGAGTGAATGTAAAAAACAAAACCCCTTTGTAAATATGGCTTTATACCTGCAATCGGAGTATTCAATAATCAACATACTTTCCTTACATGTGTAACTACATTAAGTATGACAGTGTTTAATAAATCAGTCGACAATTAATAAAATGACAAAACAACAATTTTCTTGTCATCGCTGCAAAATCATACTCACAAGTGAACAAATTGGTCAAGTTTATTATAAAACCATGGCAGAATCAATGTGAATACAGCTAAGCATAGACATGTTCCCTTTTGTCAAAGTGATTACAAGTATTTATTTCTGTGATGAGGCACTAGTAGTAACAAACTGAAGTTATTATAATCAATGATTTACTGTACATCTAGGTGGTGTTTTCCAAAAGAAAAGAATTCCTGACCATGAACAGATCCCGACTCCATAGGCATGTATTTAAGGCAATTAAATAGGATTTGCCCCCAACTTCCACTTAACGCTGCAATATGGAACTTTTTGGGCGACCAGACCAAATTCACATAGAAATGTGCGCTATTTCTATGCTTCCCGGTCTTAAGTTTCATTTTTGCATCTTACTTCAGGTTTTGTACACCAGCTTAACACAGTATTTATGGTTATTGAAAATATATTTCACATAGGTTTAGATGGTACAATGACTGCTTGTTTTGTCACAAACTACATTTACACAAAACTATTTGAATTTTAGCAACCAGGAAATGGCGGAGTGATTTCTGCATATTGCATCTTCAATGGGCTAATCCACTAATTCTTAAAATAACACTATATGGAGAACAATATGTGAACAAACGTTTCATTGTCATTATAATGAAAGGTTGGTAGCACCACTTAGTCATGCATTGATGTCAATGGGAGACTAAGTGAATTTTACTTGAGCAAGTTAGGATTCACCCCACCATTGCCTTGTGTACAATGGAACGCTGAATACATAACATCAACCAGTGCAAACAGCTGAAGTCAATGTGATGGTGAATAGAATTTCTCCTAAATCGACAAATACATAAAATCACACAATTGCCTTTATAATTCAATCTCAGCTGGCAGGTTACAGCAGCATGTCTTATCACAGCAGAATCAAACACCCGAAGCGGACACCATACAAAACAATAGCCCTGGTCCCAGATCAGCTTGTGCTGTATAGCCAGCCAACTCCCGAAACGAAACGGCATAAACAGATCTGGGACCAGGCTAACAAAACACTTGGAGAATATGTCAGTGGTCGTTGGATACCAGCCAGTGCTTTTCACCATGAGCTAGTGCAAATCAAATGAGATGAGAAAGAGCCTTTCCTGCAGGCTTTGTTCACAGCAGGCCTCAGATCAGTAAGGCTGTTTCTTGATGAAGCGAGAGAACATGGTAAAGGCAGCGATGGGCTTGTCTGTGGGGACCATGTGGCCTGAACCCTGTTGATAAATAAAAGGAGAAAGTTGATTGGTGATCTGCCGGTGAATTGGGTCATGTTCATTAGGGAACGCAAAGGAAAACACTTTAAAATGTTTTGCAACAGAATAATAAAGACCTCACAGTTTCAGTCCATTTTCATCCATTTGGTGTCTAATGAACACAACCCTGGTTTAAAGCACTTCCCATATTTTTCCAGACAGGACTATGAACATGTTCTCTGTAGCCCGATGCTACATGTTAAGATAAATGGGTGTCTTACCACAGTACCTGCTTCCAAGAGAGGAATGTCAGAAGCTTTTTACTGCAGTGATTGGAATGCAAGCTACAATGTAATGTATACATGGCAGCAAAACACTTGTCTGGTCGGAAACATCTAGCAAAAATCCCCTACAATCCTCCATTCCTTTGGTCTAAGGGACAGGAGGAAGCGGTTTGGTGAATGTGACAGAGATTGTTCTGTGAACCATTGTCTTGCCTGAGATCTGAAGACTTGCCTAGCCTTTAGCTCAGTGAAGTGAGCTAATTCAAAGTATTGTGGTGTTACAATTGCGCCACCTACTGGAGCTTAGAGGAGCCTGCAAGATATTGCTGTTCACCACAGATCTGCAAACAGGCTAGGGACTAGTGGAGAGGGCAAGGGGTTATTAATTAATAACTTTAGTGTGTGTTTGTTTAGTGTATTTATGGAATTTATGTTCCAAATGATAGTCCTTGCAGCCAGAAATCTGTACATCCACAGGTAAATATGATAATGGAATACAGGTTCCAATTCTATTTGGTTGCATCGTTACCTTGACGGTGAGGAAGGCCAGGTTGGAGAACTCCTTGACGAAGCCGCCCACCTGCTGGCTCTCGCCGGTGTAGTAGACCCAAGGCCTCCTCTTCACCTGGACCTGGGGAGGGACGGGCCAGAGCCAGGGGTCAAGCCACAGCATAGAACGGAGTGGAGGGAAGTTGTTCCTGATCTTGCGTCAGTTTAGCATTTTCCCCACTAAATGGATTGTGGGAGGGGAATCTGATCCTAGAGCTGTACTCAATGAAAACTTCACCACGGTGCACATAGAACCAGACATGACACCAGCAGCCTCATTTCTAGTCAGTGTTCTGTTTTTCCATCCTTTGTCATGTAGTGTCTTGCAGAAGGTAAAAAAGGTTAATATACCTCCTGCTGGAGAGACTCCACGAACCACTCGTCCCCAAGGAAGTTGCAGGCCATGTCTACGTCGCCATTGTACACCAGCACTCTGTACTTCTACAAGACAGATGGACGACATGTCTATCACTACTGCCAAGACCACTAATCACAGTCAGACCTGGGTTCATATATATATATACATATACACACACAAACACACCTCAAGTGTTGGAGCCTGCCTGGAGTGCCAGGTTTGGTGCAGGGTTTGCACTTTTGGGACTATTATATTGGCTCCATTATTCCATGCAAGCTTAGTCAAGCACAGTATATGGAAGAAAATACTTTAGCAAGCTCACCAGAGCTCCCAACAGCTTCAGGTACTGCTTCCTCACATCCATGTACAGCCGGTTGTAGTTCAGATTCACCTCAGCACTGTAACAGCAGAGATCAACACAACCAAACTTTTAGTCAGGATAGTTAAGATATTTACGTTGATGCAGTGATGGGGAAACAGGTCCTGTCTGAACCACAAAGTGGTATCAATTAAAACAATTTAACCCAACGCAAGTTTGTTGCTCTCGGAACCAATCACCTTTCATTGGCCCCATCGCTGATACCCTTTTCACACTATAGTGCCGACCCATATCACACTGGTTCCAACAACTATGGTGGACGCGTAACCAAGACAGTGCAATACAGCTCTGCCCCACTCACATTCTCGTAGGTAATCTAAAGAACGCACCAAATGACGTTGTACTAAACACCTCGTCCTGTAAAGGGGTCATTCATATTGGTCCATGTCAAAACCTGTATTTTGACCATATTATCTACCCACTGAACATTAGAGAGCCGTGAGTCAAGTTTCCTCATCCTTGTACCTAATAATGTAAACACCCCTCACTTACCTGCATATCACCCAGGGCAGAGCGGAGGGGGAGATGTGGAGGGCTGCTTTGACGTAGGGGTTGTTCAGGTACAGGGTAGACGGGGTCGAGTTGGTGCAGGGAGGGTCCAGCCTCACACGCTTGTACAGAGACGCCACACCCTTCAGCTTCTACGAGACCAACAGAGAGGTACACAACTAAGGCTGGATATACGGTCTACTTGACCCGGGTTAGGGTCAATTTGAAGTCAGTCAATTCAGGAAGTGATTTGAATTTTAAAATGAAAGACTTGATATGCCTTCAAAAATATTCACACCCCTTCGAATTGGTCAACCCTGCACTACACATACTCTTACCATACAGTGCTGTAATCATGCATCGTATAGACAGGTTCCTTACGGACATTTTGGTACATGTTTTAGGTTGCAACTATGCACGCTCTGGTAACGTTTTGCTACGGAGACTGCTTGGTGGAGTATATACACCCAGCCTTAATGAGAAATTCATACTAAAAAGGGACTGAAAAACACCAAACTAGAAATTACCATTGTGTACAACTAATACATAATTATAACAAAAATCAGCTAGAACGTGAAGATCCAAAGATTTTAAAAAAACAACAACATTCAAAGCACACTTGAAAACAGGTCCTCAGCCCAATGTATTCCTCTACAATAAATTCATTTTTACCTGGTTCCACAGTTGAGTCCTTTCATGGTTGATGAAACTATTCCCCAGATCTCGAATCACCAGGTGCCCATTGTCAATGCTGCACAGAGAACAGAACACATTAACATGTCAGAGAACAGAACACATTAACACGTCAGAGAACAGAACACATTAACACGTCAGAGAACAGAACACATTAACACGTCAGAGAACAGAACACATTAACACGTCAGAGAACAGAACACATTAACACGTCAGAGAACAGAACACATTAACACGTCAGAGAACAGAACACATTAACACGTCAGAGAACAGAACACATTAACACGTCAGAGAACAGAACACATCTGTAGTAGAAGCTACTGGCTTGACCTATGCAGAGTCCTATACTACACACGTGGTGTGAGGAGTTAGGAACTACTGTATGCAGAGCCCTGTACTACACACGTGGTGTGAGGAGTTAGGAACTACTGTATGCAGAGCCCTGTACTACACACGTGGTGTGAGAGGCAACTTTGGTCAGTTCAACCGGTACCACGAAAGTGGTTCACTTTTTAAATTAGGTACATTTCTATGGCAACGAATCCTTCAGAAGGAACCTAATCCCGGGCAGACCAACATCTCGGCGCCAACTCCATTTATCCTGAATGAAGTGTCTGAGCCACGAGTTATATTAATATTGCGTCAGCATCCCCTTCATTTGAGGAAGATAACCAATTAAATATTTTATTAATCCAATTTGTGTTTTAAAATACCTATCACATTTAGTAATGACAATGTATTTGAAACTTCTCGCACAGTAAAACGTATCGTAGGAGTGGGGGGAAAAAGGTACTTGTGAATTGATAAGCAATGATACATTAACGATAAGTAATAAAATAAAGACGGCTCTTCTAAGAGCCTATTTTACACCATAGTCTGCTGAATTTGCAATATAGTGTTTCTTCTTTTTGATTTCGGCACAAATGGAAAAATGTGGCACCGATTTGCCCATGAATTGATGTTTCAGCATCGTCTCAATGAGGAGTTACGCGTTTCACTAGCCACGTGCGACTCGCACGCACAGTTACAAGCCTGCTAGAGGTAGCGGCAGGCGGACGAGCAATATCCACCGTAGTCGTACGGATGGAGCCTGAGCTGGAATGTGAAGCTAACTGAAGCTGGCTAGCTTTAGAAAACCCAGCCTACATCTAGCCTCAAATCGTAGTGTATCCCTCAGGTCTGAGATGTTCGGTTTGATTACCATAGCTTGTGTGCTAAAGCAGGTTAGGGGGTACATCCCATTTCAATCCAGTCAACGCAGGAAGTAAACTGAAAATCCAATTCCAAAATGAGGAAAATCTGGAAATGGAATTAGTTTGCTTCCCGAATTGAATTGACCGCAACTTTGGCGTTAACCCTTTGTTATTGCATTTTCATTTAGATGTTGAAGCAGTTAGAAAGATTTTCCTTGTGTGAAGACTACAGTGAAATCTGAGAAGTGGCTGGATAGTGGCTGGTCTTACCTGACTCTCTGGCCAACTCCTCCAGGACAGGGGGCGTACAGGTTGTAGATGTTCAGTCCAGAACTGTAGACAATCTCCTGCACCTCATCAATCTAGGGGTTACAAAAAACAATACCAAATAAAAAAAAGGTAGAAAAAAAAACACATTGGGGAAAGATTTAAAAAGTGGAAATGTGTCAGATTTACTACTGGTCATCATCTTTATTTGCCAAGTACATTTATATGTACCAGGAATTTGACCTGGTAAATTGGTGCTAACAACAATAAAACAGAATGTAGACAAGATAATTTTACACAAACTAGTCAACTACTGAATACACCTCTAGCCTTCAAATCATTACATGTACCTCGTTTCCATTGCGAGAATCAATGTGCCCGAAGAACAATGTAAATAAATCCTATAGAGCTATCAATGGAGAATCAATCATAGTAAATGGACTCACATTGCTGGAGCAGTTGGGGTTCCGATTGTTGTAGAAGTCACATTTTCCATTGTCGCAGCAATAGGCCTGCAAGTCAATCCACAACCTGCCAGGAAGACAGAACCACGTTACCAGTCCTCATTTATTCTGTACATTTGAAAAACTATAGTCTGACTGAGCGCTAGTCTGTCGGTGCTATCATGCCCAACATGCTTGGCAATGACAGAAATTAAGTTGGCAAGGGCACAAACAGATCTGGGACCAGGATATGACCACTCACAGATGACATTAGGGGAAGAAAAAAAAAAACGCCATAACAGTACCTTGTCCCAAGGAGTCCATGGTAATAAGCAAAGTAGACGAGAGAGTTGTCATTCATCTCATAACTGGACATCCCATTGCCAACTGCAATACCCTGGGAGAAAAATATGTTTGTTCGTCTGATTATTTGTATTTATTAGGGATCCACTTAGTTCCTGCCAAAGCAGCAGCTACTCTACCTGGGGTCCAAACACATTAAGGCACTTACATTACACAAAACAGTACATCGTAACATTACACCACTACATATAAAATGTATAATACCACCATACAATATTACAATGTACGTGTGGGTAGTGTGTGTGCGCGCGTCTCTCTTCACATAAGGTGTATTTATCTGTTACCTGATGTGGAATAGAGTTCCATGTAGCCATGGCTCTATGTAGTACTGTGCACCTCCCATAGTCTGTTCTGGACTTGGGGATTGTGAAGAGACTTTTGGCGGCACGTCTTGTGGGGTATGCATGGGTGTCTGAGCTGTGTGCTAGTAGTTTAAAAAACAGACAGCTCGGTTCATTCAGCTTGTCAACACTTCTTAGTGATGAAGTTACTCTCCTCCACTTTGAGCCATGAGAGATTGCCATGCATATTATTAATGTTATGCTATTCGTGTACATTTAAGGGCCAGCCATGCTGCCCTGTTCTGGGCCAATTGTAATTTTCCTAAGTCCCTTTTTGTGGCACCTGACCACATGACTGAACAGTAGTCCAGGTGCGACAAAACTAGGGCCTGTAGGACCTGCCTTGTTGACAGTGTTAAGACAGAGAAGCGCTTTATTATAGACAGACTTCTCCCCATTTTAGCTACTGATGTATCAACATGTTTTGACCATGACAGTTTACAATCCAGGGTTACTTGAAGCAGTTTAGTTACCTCAACTTGCTCAATTTTCACATTATTCATTACAAGATTTAGTTGAGGTTTAGTGAATGATTTGTCCGAAATAAAAATGCTTTTAGTTTTTGAAATATTTAGGCCTAACTTATTCCTTGCCACCCATTCTGAAACTACCTGCAGCTCTATGTTAAGTGTTGCAGTCATTTCAGTCCCTGTAGTAGCTGACATGTATAGTGTTGAGTCATCCGCATACATAGACATTCTGGCTTTACTCAAAGCCAGTGGCATGTCGTTAGGGTAGGGCGATATATCGAATTAATTCAAATGTTTCTGCGCGATATTCCAAATGCCAGTATCGCAAGAATCAAGGTTTTGTTATTTTTGGTTTTTATGAGCGTTTGTCTGCGTGTTCTAATGTTGTATGTTCGGTCTCTTCTCCTTCGCTCTGCATCTTCCCATTTATACCAATTATCTGTATATAATGACGAGATGCACGTCTCTACCCTAACAACGGGAGTCGTTAACCCAAAGGCAGGCGACAAGCTTAGGTCCAAAATAAGCCCATAGAAACACATTGGCCTTATTTTATAAAGATTTTAAAGAGTGTGAAACCTCTCGCGTCACCTCTTCCTCTATGGTTTACACACACACACACACCAAGTCCCTCCCACTGCCACTCACGCCAACCTTTTTACATTTTAGTCATTTAGCAGACACTCTTATCCAGAGTGACTTACAGTTAGTGAGTGCATACATTTTTCAACAAAGTTAAGATCACATCTTCCTCTCGGACAGGCGGTTTCAACTCAGTTTGGTCCAACAGAATCGGTCATATGGACACCAAAACACATTGAGAGATTATTTGACTGTAATAGATAAGTTAAAATTTCTTTAAAAAATACCCTTTTTAATGTCTCAACTACTCAAATAGCGCGCAGAGCAGACACTACTAAAAACGAGAGTATCAATGAACATTGATTCTGAAAAATGACTGCTCAGTTTGTCGCGCCCGTGGCATTTGGGTACCACGTATCACTAGCAGCATTTTAGCCAAAGACTGTTATACTAGCTGTCTAATGTGCAATAAGCATAAAACACAATTATACAAGGAATTGGCAACTCGTTCTCATTCTGAGAAATAAGGTAGGCCACTTGATTTCAGCATCTGAACAAAGTGGACAGGCTAGGATGCTTTTCAAACAGACAGAAGGGTGTGTTCATAACAATTAAACTGTTCTACCTTGTTAGCTATCAAATAGATCCAAGTTGGCTAAACTTGAAATATAAAGATTAGCTGGCTAACCACTAGCACGTGGGCTTGTTGATGAGACCTGTGTTCATTTTCTATAGCATAATGCCTGCTACAAGAAGTTAGTGAGTGCATCATGCATGGTTCTAGTTATACATTTGTAACAAAAAGGCCATTTTTCATAGACAGACTTGAAAGCCAGATCAGTGCTCAATGCAAATTTAAAAACAGGTTAAACTATAATTACATTATTAGTGGGTCTTATGGTTGTGGAAGGCTTATATTTAGCCGAGGTATAATTTAACAAGCCCTGAATTCATCAGATTATTGCTGACTGTTTGAATGCAGTGTATTTTACCTTTAAAATTGTATAACGCTTATTTAGATACTTTTTTTCCTATCTTAAAAAAAAAAAAAAAAAGTTAAGGGGCCTAGACAGCTGCCCTGGTGAATGCCTGATTCTACCTGGATTTTGTTGGTGGGGCTTCCATTAAGGTAAATCTTTATCCACAGTATAGCAGGGGGTGTCAAGCCATAACACATACGTTTTTCCATCAGCAGACTATGATCGATAATGTCAAAAGCCACACTGACGTCTAACAAAACAGCGCCCACAATCTTGTCATCAATTTCTCTCAGCCAATCAGTCATGTGTAAGTGCTGTGCTTGTTGAATGTCATTCCCTATAACCGTGCTAAAGTCTGTTAATTTGTTTACTGTGATGTGAAATAGCATTGTATCTGGTCAAACAATTATTATTTCCAAAAGTTTACTAAGGGTTGGTAACAGGCTGATTGGTCGGCTATTTGAGCCTGCAAAGGGGGCTCTACTACTCTTAGGTAGCGGAATGAATTTTTGCTTCCCTCCAGGCCTAAGGGCACACACTTTCTAGTAGGCTTAAAATTTAAAATAGGAGTGGCAATATAATATAATTCTCACCTCTTCCACACTCACTTTACGGAAATTAAAATGATAATTTGGTCAGATATACAGTGCATTCCGAAAGTATTCAGACCCCTTGACTTTTTCCACATTACAGCCTTATTCTAAAAATGGATTAAATTGTTCCACCCCCCCCTCCCCCAATCTACACACAAAATACCCAATAATGACAAAGCAAAAACAGGTTTTTATAAATGTTTTAAAAACAAAAAATATCACATTTACATAAGTATTCAGACCCTTCATGCAGTACTTTGAGGCACCTTTGGCAGCGATTACAGCCTCGAGTATTCTTGGGTATGACGCTACAAGCTTGGCACGCCTGTATTTGGAGAGTTTCTCCCATTCTTCTCTGCAGATCATCTCAAGCGCTGTCAGGTTGGATGGTGCACAGCTATTTTCAGGTCTCTCCAGAGATGTTTGATCCGGTTCAAGTCCGGGCTCTGGCTAGGCCACTCAAGGACATTCAGAGACTTGTCCCAAAGCCACTCCTGCGTTGTCTTGGCTGTGTGATTAGGGTTGTTGTCCTGTTGGAAGGTGAACCTTCGCCACAGTCTCAGGTCCTGAGCAGGTTGTCATCAAGGATCTCTTGTACTTTGCTCCGTTCAGCTTTCCCCTCGATCCTGACTAGTCTCGCAGTCCCTGCCACTAAAAAACATCCCACAGCATGATGCTGCAACCATCATGCTTCACCGTAGGGATGGTGCCAGGTTTCCTCCAGACATGACGCTTGGCATTCAGGCCAAAGAGTTCAATCTTGGTTTCATCAGACCCGAGAATCTTGTTTCTCATGGTCTGAGAGTCTTTAGGTGCCTTTTGGCAAACTCCAAGTGGGCTGTCATGTGCCTTTTACTGAAGAGTGGCTTCCGTCTGGCCACTCCACCATAAAGGCCTGATTGGTGGAGTGCTGAAGAAATGGTTATCCTTCTGGAAGGTTCTCCCATCTCCACAGAGGAACTCTGGAGCTCTGTTAGAGTGACTATCAGGTTCTTGGTCACCTCCCTGACCAAGGGCCTTCTCCCTCGATTGCTCAGTTTGACCGGGCGGCCAGCTCTAGGAAGTCTTGGTGGTTCCAAACCAATTCCATTTAAGAATGATGGAGGCCACTGTGTTCTTGAGGACCTTCAATGCTGCAGAATTTTTTGGGGTACCCTTCCCCAGATCTGTTCCTTGACACAATCCTGTCTCGGAGCTCTACGGACAATTCCTTCGACCTCATGGCTTGGTTTTTTCTCTGACATGCACTGTCAACTGTGGGACCTTACATAGACAGGTGTGTGCCTTTCCAAATAATGTCCAATCAATTGAATTTACCACAGGTGGACTCCAATCAAGTTGTAGAAACATCAAGGTTGATCAATGGAAACAGTATGCACCGGAGCTCAATTTCGAGTCTAATAGCAAAGGGTCTGAATACTTATTTATGTAATACCTTGCTAAAACCAAGTATTGAGTTGTTATAATTCATTGGTATTAGATTTAAAAGGTGATCGAATAGCTCTTGATTTGTAATGTCATTAATGAATTTATTTAGAAGCAATTGTTTTACAAGTGAATAGGTTGGTTTACTTTTAAGTTTAAGTTTCCCACGTATCTCGTTAAAGTTTTGACCAATGAGGTAACTTGTGGCCAATGGGAGAGTGGACTGGTTGCTGGGAAAGAAAAGAGAGGGAAAAGGTTGAACGAAGGGAGAGGAGAGACGTTAGTGGGGTTGGTGAAGGAAAAACTACCAAAGGAAACAATAAAGAGAAAACAAAACCATATCTACAGAGTTTTTTTTAAAGGGAAATCCTGATTTTATTTCTATAAGAGAGTGTTTATTATTTCGTTAAGAAAGACCTAGTAGAGACTGAAGCTGCCGTCGCATTGTGGAGACATTCGACATCCTAGAGGTTAGCCTAGCATCGTGCAAGACTTGGAGAGAATTGCTTGTGACGATCAACGAGTTCGGGTTTCCAACGGATGTCTGTTGCTGCTACCGAGTACTGGCTGCATTGATAGCTGTGTTCGCTGTGGATCTTGTGAGGACACCTGCACGGAACTACTATATTTTGCTGAGGCATTATCTACAAGTAGTGAGTAACTACAAATGTGTGGTGGACTTCGGGACTTTATGTATGCCGTCATTTTTTTTTTTTTTTATGAGCTCCAACGCGCACCCAGGGTTTAAGCAAGCTTGCAAATAATTTGGACATGGGTTGTGGAAAAATCATTGGGGTTTATAATTTTTATTTCTTTTGATGTGATACATTGAACATTTGATTAATATAGATCTTGAACCTTATGTCTGTTGTATTGGTGGAGTCATTTACTGTTTCAGTTTCATTTAATGCATGGGAAAGCATATCCTTATAATAATAACCAAGTCTATAATCATTCTATCTGAAGTTAATACCCTATTTGTCATTCACCCTAGCAAGTTTACAATAGGGATTCTTATTGGAGATGTCCTTCTCACCTAATATCCCATGCTGTTCAGATATTCTAAATAAGGTAATATTGTGAGAGTCAAATTCGAGCCTGGTGAGAGGGTTACGTTTAAATAAGGTACCTTTTTTATTTTTAATAGAATTCACAAACATTTCTAAAAACCTGTTTTTGCTTTGTCATTGCGGGGTATAGTGTATAGATTGATGGGGACGTTTTAAAAAACAATCAATTTTAGAATAAGGCTGTAACGTAACAAAATGTGGAAAAGGTCAAGGGGTCTGAATACTTTCCAAATGGACTGTACTTGGATGTGTAGTGTCGGCGTTTGTTGCTGGCATGTCATGACTACATTTGCTAATCTTGCCAATGAGAAAATCATTAAAATAGTTGGCAATATCAGTGTGGTTGTGATGAATGAGCCATCTGATTCAATAAATGATGGAGCCGAATTTGGCCAAAATGTCATTTCAAGGTGCTCCAAAGCTTTTACTTCATCTTTGTTTTATAGTATATATAGTTTCTCCTTTTTATTCCGTTTAGTCACATGACCTCAATTTGCAGTACGGTTGTGCTGCCAGACCTATTTGCCTGATCCTTCTCAACCATACACATTTTCAATTCCTCATCAATCCACAGGGATTTAACAGTTTTTAACATTAATTTTCTTAATGGGTGCATGCTTATTAGAAACTGGAATAAGCAATTTCATGAATGTGTCAAGTGCAGCGTCTGGTTGCTCCTCATTACACACAGACCAGCAAATATTCTTTACATCATCAATATAAGAATCACTAGAAAACTTCTTATATGACCTCTTATACACTATATTAGGCCCAGCCTTTGGAACTTTGGTTCTCTTAGATAAGGCTACTATTTTGTGATCACTACATCCGATGGATTTGGATACTGCTTTAAAGCAAATTTCTGCAGCATTAGTAAAGATGTGATCAATACATGTTGATTTAATTCCTGTGCTATTTGTAACCACCCTGGTAGGTTGACTGAACCAGGTTGCAGGCACTGATTACAGTTTGAAGATTTTTCTTGAGTGGGCAGCTTGATATAAACCAGTCAATATTGAAATCACACAGAAAATATACCTCTGTTGATATCACATACATTATCAAGCATTTCAAACATAGCCAGATACTGACTGTTAGCACTTGGTGGTCTATAGCAACTTCCCACAGGAATGGGCTTTAGGTGAGGCAGATGAACCTGTAGCCATATTACTTCAACAATATTTAACATGAGATCCTCTAAGCTTTACAGGAACGTGGTTCTGAATATAGACCGCATGATTATTAGGGCTCCTGAAAATAAATCTAGCCTACATAAGCCTGGAGGAAAAAAACATTTAACATCCATTCTTACGTGACAGGATTTAGTCAGTAGACATTTAGTAGGTGAAAAGGTACCACAACTCCAAACACTGCTCTTAAAATGCCAAACAATTTTAAATGCAGTGGTGCGCATTAGGCTAAACCAAGCAGAATGCATGTCCTCAAAGACCAGTGTTGAGTGAAAACCCCTGCAAAGCGACAACTGTCAATGGGGAGCGTGTCTGGCTAGTAGACGTTTCCAAACATACAACTCTTGATCTCTCCCTTCTACCCATGGTAACTCAACCTCCTAGATCAGGAGGAGCTGGATTGACAAGCATTACAGTGAAGGCTCAACCTATCACTCAAATAGGCCAAGTAGGTTAACCCCTATATTGATTTTGCCCATTTAATTAATTCTGATTTGGCGGGGAGTTACTGAAGGGAAGAAGAAAGTCCTACAGATGCATCCCAAATGGCACCCTAGTCCCCATTGAGTGCTCAACTTTTGACCAGGGGATAGGGTGCCTTTTGGGATGCATTTGTAGATCTCTTTCTCACCTGCAGGTTCATGCTGGCGTCCTCCATCACTCTCTCTGCCAGGGTGGGGATGTAGATGCCTCCGTAGCTCTCGCCCGTCAGGAAGAACTCATTCTTGCTGTACTCTGGGAAGGCTTTGAAGAACTCCTTTAAGGCCAGGTAGTTATTCATGGCCACCTAGAGAAGAAAAGCCAATATATTACTCAATGAGCTCATGTACAGTCCCAACAACGACTCAACTCATCGGAAATGGCTGTCGGAAGGGATTGGGAGATGCATCATGCACGTCGAAAACATTTGGCTTGATGTGTCAGTCTTGATGGGTGGTCCTGTGTGGCTCAGTTGGTTAAGGGTCGTGGGCTAAATTCCCGCTGGGGTCACCAATACAAACATTTATGCCTACACTATTATAAGTCACATTGGATAAAAGCATCTGCTAAATGGCTACGAGCGATCCCATTTAACAATTCATAAGTCAATCAAGTCCTAGGTTCCTCAACATGTCACCTAACTGGTTAAGCGGAGTGGTTCTTCAGGTAACAACTCACCTCAGTGTCATTGGTTGTGTACTTCTTATCGTCAGAGTAGGAAAATCCAACACCTGCTGGTGACTCCAGGTACAACACGTTGGCAATCTAAAAACATCACACCTGTTGTAACTCATATATATATATATATATATATATACACACACACACACACATACACATCTCCAGTCAAAATTTCAGACACCTACTCATTCATGGGTTTTTCTTTATTTTTACTATTTTCTACATTGTAGAATAACAGTAAAGACATCAAAACTATGAAATAACACATATGGAATCATGTAGTAACAAAAAAAAATAAGGGTTAAACAAATCAAAATATATTTTATAATTGAGATTCTTCAAAGTAGCCACCCTTTGCCTTGATGACAGCTTTGCACTCTCTCAACCAGTATGGTTCATCCTTGGGAGCAATTTCCAAACGCCTGAAGGTACCACGTTCATCTGTACAAACAATGGTACGCAAGTATAAACACCATGGGACCACGAAGCCGTCATACCGCTCAGGAAGGAGACGCGTTCTGTCTCCTAGAGATGAGCGTACTTTGGTGCGAAAAATCAATCCCAGAACAACAGCAAAGGACATTGTAAAGATGCTGGAGGAAACAGGTACAAAAGTATCTATATCCACAGTAAAACGAGTCCTATATTGACATAACCTGAAAGGCCGCTCAGCAAGGAAGAAGCCACTGCTCCAAAACCGCCATAAAAAAGCCAGACGACTATGGTTTGCAACTGCACATGGGGACAAAGATCTTACTTTTTGGAGAAATGTCCTCTGGTCTAACGAAACAAAAATAGAACTGTTTGCCCATAATGACCATCGTTATGTTTGGAGGAAAAGGTGGGGGCTTGCAAGCCGAAGAACACCATCCCAACCGTGAAGCACGGGGGTGGAAGCATCATGCTGTGGGGGTGCTTTGCTGCAGGAGGGACTGGTGCACTTCACAAAATAGATGGCATCATGAGGAAGGAAAATCATGTGGATATATTGAAGCAACATCAAGACATCAGTCAGGAAGCTTGGTCACAAATGAGTCTTCCAAATGAACAATGACCCCAAGCATACTTCCAAAGTTGTGCCAAAATGTCTTAAGGACAAAAAAGTCAAGATATTGGAGTGGCCATCACAAAGCCCTGACCTCAATCCTATAGTAAATGTGTGGGCAGAACTGACAAAGCGTGTGCGAGCAAGGAGGCCTACAAACCTAACTCAGTTACACCAGCTCTGTCAGGAGGAATGGGCCAAAATTCACCCAACTTATTGTGGGAAGCTTGTGGAAGGCTACCCAAAACATTTGACCCAAGTTAAACAATTTAAAGGCAATGCTACCAAATACTAATTGAATGTATGTAAACTTCTGATCCACTGGGAATGTGATGAAAGAAATAAAAGCTGAAATAAATCATTCTCTCTACTATTATTCTGACATTTCACATTCTTAAAATAAAGTGGTGATCCTAACTGACCTAAGACAGGGAATATTTACTAGGATTAAATGTCAGGAATTGTGAAAAACTGAGTTTAAACGTATTTGGCTAAGGTGTATGTAAACTTCCGACTTCAACTGTATTTATGCATGTATGTGTGTGCCAGTCTGTGCCATCATGCCAACTCATTGTCATACCAAACATAGGCTTGACAATAACAGCAATGGAGTTGGCATGAGCACACACAGATCTGGGTGATGAAATGCTAGATGAAAGAAACAAACCATGTTCCAGGAATAGGGGTTGTACTCCAGTGACATGCCATCATTTTGAATCTGAAATGAGAACAGCAGACTTCGTTCAAAGATTATGCCAAGGCAGTGGTTCTGCAACACATGACAAAACATCTTAAAATGGAAGACAATGTTAATTTCAGTTGTAAGATTGACCATTTACACTAGCGGGAGAATTATACTAGCAGCATTTGAAGAAAGTTGTCATTAATCTCTCATGGACAGATTCTGTGCATAAAAACGAAGAATCTGTCACGGCGGGATTGAATTCATAGGATAACGAGCAGCAGTAGTTCCTGTGTTTGGGTTTTCATCACTGATTATTTGGACGCATCAGGATGAGGCGGCGAAGGCGATGCTTAAACTGCGACTGCTTTGCGCGTGGTGAAATTAGCGGAAGGGGTGGGGTGGTGCTTTGGCTGAGTTTCCTTTTGAGAGGATGGAGACTTCTCAAAACTAAATTTTTAAACAGGTATGGGTTAACTGAGACTGTTGGTTTTATTTAACTAGGCAAGTCAGTTAAGAACAAATTCTTATTTACAATGATAGCCTCCCAAAAGGTATCCTGTGGGGATGGGATTAAAAATAAAAATGTAGGACAAAAACACATCACGACAAGACAGACACCACATAAAGAGAGACCTAAGACAACACAGCATGGCAGCAACACAACAGCAGCTGGGCAGAGACAACCGCACAAAGGGAAAGAAAGGTAGAGACAACAATACATCACACATCATTGGTGATCTAAAGTGAAAAACGTAGCTAGATAATTTCTCCCATAGACCATTGATAAATATCTTGGCTTCTCCTTACCAAGAAAGGCCCATGTTCTGTGAGTAGACCGTCAAGGGAGCTGCACCCAGGGCCCCCGTTCAGCCACAGAACCACTGGGCTGCCAGCTGGATCCTTCTGAGACTCCACAAACCTGCATGATAGATTCACATGAATGGAAGTCGTGTAGGACGTAATACCCACATGAATTCTGTTGACATAACTTGAGGAGCTGATTAAATATAAAACTACTCAAGTGATAAGCTGGCTGCGTGCCAAATTAAGCAGCGTACTGGGCACGTGGTTTGCATGAGGAAATATTCAACCCAAGACACTTCCTCATTGCTAAAGTCATGTGCCCTACACATATAATACTCCCTTTAGGTTTGAAGTAAATATGTAGCTAGTTAGTATGGCATGACTTAGTCATAATTGCTAAAAAGAGAAGGCTACCCACTCACCAGTAGTGAAGGTGTTTGTTGTCTGCCACATTGAAGTATCCCGAATACTGTTTGAAGTTAGGCTGCTTTTGAAGCCCAGGGAGGAACTTTATTTCATCTACTTCAGGTGCCCCGAGAGTCCCCAATGCTCCGAACAGCAGGGACAACACCAAGTGAAACATCTGGGAGTAAAATGAGCTGAAACGTTAATCAGTTTACTAGCAATAAGCCATGACATGTCTAGACTTGAAAGACAATCTAGCTAGTTTCAGTCCGAGAAGATCCCAACAGTGATTGCAACAAGATAGCCAACATTTAAGTAACCAAGAGTATGCTGGTATTTGAGTACACTGAATGATTAATGAGCCGGATGAACGTATTTAACCGGCACTTACTTTTTTCGTTGAATTAGGCCGTAAGTAGTTACAGAACAGCCACAGTACTTATGCACACAGAGATCACGGAAGGAGTAATCATGTGTTCACTTTTGCGGTTGTTGCTCGTGATGAGCTGGTCACATGACAACGCATTAGCGCGCTTCAAACTGCGCAGTCAGTGCGCAGACGTTTGGCCTCACATGGTTGTCACTAGTTACCACAGCCACAAAGTCAGAATTGTCTATAGGGTAACAATTCATGAAAAAAAAGTTAGGGTTAGGCATAAGGTTAGCAGTATGGTTAGGGTTAAAATCAGAAATTGTAGAAATAGGCAGGGTTTGTGACTTTGACGGAAGGTCCTAGGATGATATCTCTAGAATCAGATGATGACAGAGAGCAAGGTACAGCCTTTTTTTCTCCGTTCTGTTCCGTTTTCAAAAAGTGACTAGATTGATTTTAATGGCGGAATATTATGCACTGGCGGCTAAGGGACTGTGTGCAATCAGACAAACCTGGTGTTTACAGAAAAACTTTTTTCCTCAATTAAATGATCTACAGATCTGAACTTAATTTGTTTTTTTACCACAACAATTACATTTTAACTTGTTCATTTTTAATGGGTTTTATGTAAAAATATTAGCTCAAACAACATAAAAAGGCCTATGATCTTTCTCACTCCTACCCAACCTCACCCAAGGTCACTGATGTCCCTAATTCATGATACACTAATAAGAATTCCCATTTTAAAATTCCCTGATTTATAAAATGAATATTTCATGTCATAATGATCATTTTTAATGGCTTCCGATCCACATGTGCTAGAGCTCTACAGATAAGTGCAGTGTGTTCCCTGACCTCTTATCAAAGCGAATTCCTCCCCTTCTTTTTTTCCCACCCCATTTTTCCTATTACAGTTGTGGTTATTAGTTCACATACAGAGCTCATTTTCTATAGCTTCCAGTCCAAATGTCATATACATCTAAACCACTTGATGTTAGCGCTCCCTCCTCCAAAATACACCCATTAGAATTGAACTTTTTTATTTAACTGATTTTACATTAATATTTCCTGTGACTGGACAAATGTTCAATATTTCACAGTCCATATGAGCTACAGCTCTACAGATAAGTGTGGTGGGTTCCTTGATATCTCTTATAAAAGGTACACCTTTTATTTTTTCTAAATTCCACCCCTTTGATTTTCATTTTTTAAAAAAAAAAAAATATCCTATTACGATATTAATTATCATACAGATCACATTTTCAATACTTTCCCGTCCGAATTACATATACACTGACTGTACGAATCATTAGGAACACTTGCTCGTTCCATGAAGTAGACTGACCAGGTGAAAGCTATTATCCCTGATCCCTTGAAAGGTGTATGGCAAAAGGTGCCAGGTGCACCAGTTTGAGTGTGTCAAGAATTGCAACGCTGCTGTTTTTTCCAATGCTCAACAGTTCTAAAGTGTATCAAGAATCGTCTCAATCCCTCGCATCCGCTGATGTCGCACTTCCGTATCTGAAGTGACAGAGCTAGAGCGGTGTTTGTCAGACCATGAGACATCCCGAAAATCGGTCTTGTCACAAAATCGTCCAAACGGTTCGACCTACAAACTATTATGACCCCTCAGGGGAAAGATGAGACTCTCATGAACACGATGGCGTCTTGGGACTCGTCTGAAGTCGATTCAGCCGATCTGCCAACTTCTGGCTGTAGCTTCCGAACAGTTTGGGCGACACACTAATATGACCCATCTGTGGAAGGAGGAGACTCTCACGAACAGCAACATGTTTCGCTCTAGGAAACGAATGGAAGAATATATGGAGACTGTTTAGTGCCAAAAATAAGGGGTTAAATACATGTAATAAAAAAAATCCAGATATTTCTTACATCTCTCAGATATAGGACAGACACTAAAAAAAATGTCCTTTTGATTTTTTGGGGGGGGACTATCTGTTCCATGTAGTGAATCTGTTATTCAATGCGTTTGTATGAGCTAAGAGCATTAAGGCCAAAAATACTTTTTCATTAATATTTTTATATATATTGTAGCGACCCACACAGACAGCTGTGTGTTATGCTGTTCGTTGGTTGTGTTGTACTTACCAGTACCCAGTGTTCGTGGGGTCTGACATGCCAGTCTACATGCTATCTGCCACCACGGGAATGCCTGGAATGTTCTGGTGCCGGGCATCCTGGTGGTTGTTGGAGCGGCGGGGGGGTGGAGCATCGCTAGTTTAAGACCATGCTTAGCCATTGTTCTCTCGCTTTCATCTGGTCTTAACAAGAGGTGGTCAAGGTTGTTTTATACGGGTATCCTTGATTTATTTGGCGTGGGCTACGGCCAAACAGTAGCCTGTGTTGAGTTTGGTTAATAAACCGGGAATTCGTAAACTCAAACCACTGTCTGGACAATTGTTCATTTATGATCTAGCCAGGTCATTACAATATATATACTGCTCAAAAAAATAAAGGGAACACTTAAACAACACAATGTAACTCCAAGTCAATCACACTTCTGTGAAATCAAACTGTCCACTTAGGAAGCAACACTGATTGACAATACATTTCACATGCTGTTGTGCAAATGGAATAGACAACAGGTGGAAATTATAGGCAATTAGCAAGACACCCCCAATAAAGGACTGGTTTTTGCAGGTGGTGACCACAGACCACTTCTCAGTTCGTATGCTTCCTGGCTGATGTTTTGGTCACTTTTGAATGCTGGCGGTGCTTTCACTCTAGTGGTAGCATGAGACGGAGTCTACAACCCACACAAGTGGCTCAGGTAGTGCAGCTCATCCAGGATGGCACATCAATGCGAGCTGTGGCAAGAAGGTTTGCTGTGTCTGTCAGCGTAGTGTCCAGAGCATGGAGGCGCTACCAGGAGACAGGCCAGTACATCAGGAGATGTGGAGGAGGCCGTAGGAGGGCAACAACCCAGCAGCAGGACTGCTACCGCCTTTGTGCAAGGAGGAGCAGGAGGAGCACTGCCAGAGCCCTGCAAAATGACCTCCAGCAGGCCACAAATGTGCATGTGTCTGCTCAAACGGTCAGAAACAGACTCCATGAGGGTGGTATGAGGGCCCGACGTCCACAGGTGGGGGTTGTGTTTACAGCCCAACACCGTGCAGGACGTTTGGCATTTGCCAGAGAACACCAAGATTGGCAAATTCGCCACTGGCGCCCTGTGCTCTTCACAGATGAAAGCAGGTTCACACTGAGCACATGTGACAGACGTGACAGAGTCTGGAGACGCCGTGGAGAACGTTCTGCTGCCTGCAACATCCTCCAGCATGACCGGTTTGGCGGTGGGTCAGTCATGGTGTGGGGTGGCATTTCTTTGGGGGGCCGCACAGCCCTCCATGTGCTCGCCAGAGGTAGCCTGACTGCCATTAGGTACTGAGATGAGATCCTCAGACCCCTTGTGAGACCATATGCTGGTGCGGTTGGCCCTGGGTTCCTCCTAATGCAAGACAATGCTAGACCTCATGTGGCTGGAGTGTGTCAGCAGTTCCTGCAAGAGGAAGGCATTGATGCTATGGACTGGCCCGCCCGTTCCCCAGACCTGAATCCAATTGAGCACATCTGGGACATCATGTCTTTGCTCCATCCACCAAAGCCACGTTGCACCACAGACTGTCCAGGAGTTGGCGGATGCTTTAGTCCAGGTCTGGGAGGCGATTCCTCAGGAGACCATCCGCCACCTCATCAGGAGCATGCCAAGGCGTTGTAGGGAGGTCATACAGGCACGCGGTGGCCACACACACTACTGAGCCTCATTTTGACTTGTTTTAAGGACATTACATCAAAGTTGGATCAGCCTGTAGTGTGGTTTTCCACTTTAATTTTGAGGGTGACTCCAAATCCAGACCTCCATGGGTTGATACATTTGATTTCCATTGATCATTTTTGTGTGATTTTGTTGTCAGCACATTCAACTATGTAAAGAAAAAAGTATTTAATAAGATTATTTCATTCATTCAGATTTAGGATGTGTTATTTTAGTGTTCCCTTTATTTTTTTGAGCAGTGTACTTCAAGGGGTCTTAAAATTCTAAATCAAATAGCAAAAGGATCCTTGGTATAACCTTTTTTAAAACAATTCCATATAGCTTAGTATAACCCCCCTTATGGGTTAAACACTATTATTGCACACAGAGTGAGTCCAGGCAATTTATTATGTGACTTGTTAAGCGCATTTTTACTCCTGAACTTATTTCTGACTTGCCATAACAAAAGGGTTGAATGCTTTTTGACTCAAGACATTTCAGCTTTTCATTTTTAATTAATTTGTAAACATTTTGAGAAATATAATTCCACTTTAGACTGTTATTGGTTTGAAGTGCAACGCTGGAGAGATGACAGCTGCAGTCTCATGTCATGTCTGTCAGAGCAGAGGGAGAGAGATCATAGAAAGTGAATGTCATTCTATACTGAACAAAAACGCAACATGTAAAGTGTTGATCCCTGTTAGTGAGCATTTCTCCTTTGCCAAGATACTCCATCCACCTGACAGGTGCGGCATATCAAGAAGCTGATTAAACAGCATGATCATTACACAGGTGCACCTTGTGCTGGGGACAATAAAAGGCCACTCTAAAATGTGCAATTTTGTCACACAACACAACGTCACAGATGTCTCAAGTTTTGAGGGAGCGTGCAATTGGCATGCTGACTGCTGGAATGTCCACAAGAGCTGTTACCAGATAATTTAATGTTAATTGCTCTACCATAAGCTGCCTCCAAAGTTGTTTTAAAGAAATTGGCAGTACGTCCAACCGGTCTCACAACCCCAGACCACATGTAAGCACGCCCTCCCAGGGCCTCCACATCCGGCTTCTTCACCTGCAGGACCGTCTGAGACCAGCCACACGGACAGCTGATGAAACTGAGGAGTGTTTCTGTCTGTAATAACACCCTTTTGTGGGGAAAAACTCATTCTGATTGGCTGGGCCTGGCTCCCCAGTGGGTGGGCTTTGCTCCCAAGTGGGCAGGCCTATGCCCACCCATGGCTGCGCCCCTGCCCAGTCGTGTGAAATCCATAGATTAGGGCCTAATTAATTAATTTCAATGGACTGATTTCCTTATATGTTCTGTGAGATACAGGCACTCTTCTCTCTCTCACCACAGCAATGGCCACACACTGTTCTATAGGTTACA